ATTTTTATTTTCTTAAAATGTTTCTATAAGTGGAAAAGCTGTATCACAATTTAGTAGCAACCACAAGAACTATGCATATGTTAAGGATTTGTTTGATTGGTGCTATGGAATTGTCCTCCAGGAAAACTGCTCAGGTTCCCACTGGAACCGGAATGTTGGCCATGGCTCCGAAGGTGGGAAGGAGAATTGCAGAAAGCCCCGACCTGGGGAGAAGTAGCAGGATTCTTTCAGGAAGCTGGAAGGAAGCTTGGTCAGGACTAAGTCCACCATACTCTATGTTGGTGCTAGAATTAATTTTAAGAGAGAATGTGAGATGGGACAGGGTCTCCAAGACCTGGGATTCCTCATGTTAACTTAATTAAAACCATTTGGATAGATCCAGCCTTATATAGCTGTACTAAGGGGAACAAAGGAAAGGTTAATATTCATGTCTGGACCGTGGCCTAGAATATGTAGTAACATATAAATATATATTGTTCGGGGAGCACTATATGGGGAGAACAGTTTATGTTGGAAGACACGAACAGCCATAGTCACTTGGTCCATGAGCTTTGTATCTGCCCATTCCTATCAGTGTCTTCTCTGCTCAAATACTGGATTTGTGGGCATTGCTGGACTAATGGAGACTATCTCTTCCTAATTTTTCTTTTTCTTCTTTCCTTTCCCATCTGTTTTCTCACCTTTGCAGTTAGACAATATATGCTAAAAGGACTGAAATCATTTGATGTTTGTTTTGTGTTATATAGCCAACAATAGTAGATATGGGAAAAAGAAAATACTTCCTAATTATCTCCAGTGTTGAAATGAGGTATCAGGTCTAGTCGAACACTGTATTATTCTCTGTCCTCCCCCCATGGTTTTATAGATGTTGACTTGTTTTATTTCTTCATGCACATAGACCAAAGATCAGTTTTCTTTCCATACTCCCACTTCCCAGATCTGCAATTAGACCATCAGTATCTGCTTTAGTTTCAATGTGCCTCTCAAAAGTCCGTATCTTAGAAACTCCCCAAATTCCTATGCTAATGGTATTTGGAGGTAGGCCCTTAGTTAGGGAAATAATTAGGATCCAATAGGATAATAAGGGTGGGGTCCCTATTATGGCATTAGCGGCTTCATAAGAAGACTTAGCACACTTGTTCTGTCTCACCATATGATGCTCTCCACATATTATGAGAGCAAGAAGGCCTCTCACGAGATGCCAAGCAGATGCTGATGCTAGGTTCTTGTACTTTCCAGCTTCCAGAACCGGGAGCCAAATAAACGTTTATTCTTTATAAATTTCCTGATCTCGGGTATTGAGTTATAGCAACAGAAAATGTACTATGTATCTCCTAGCTTTACCTTTATCCAGGATTCCATAGGCTGTACCTCCCCATTCATAAATTTAAATGTTACAAAGTTACATTGATAAGACTTGTCCTTTCTCTGTTACAAGTCCACATTAAGGGCACCTGGCCCACTGGCCTCTGCCTCTCCAGCCCCAGGAGGGACATAATAGCTATGTGGGAACAAGCCAATCTTGAATTAGCATTTGCTTCTCTTCATTGGTGCTGCCCTGGCCTGCTGTCTCACACATTAAGCTTTCTAGTACTGTTAAGACAAAAGGGGCCCCTTGCCCTTTCTCACGTGTCTTTTCTGGACTCCACTTATTGTCTGTTGTGACCCTTGGGGCCCTGGGTGTCTTCATGAGCCCTTCCCACTAGGTAGGGGCAGTATTCCTCTCCTTTTATTGCTTCCTGACGGTCATGCTCTCATTTGTCCGAGAGCAGGGCTCAGAAAAGTTAAATAGAATTTGCAACTATGTCTTCTAGTCAGCCTCAGATCCTGATATTATTTCACTACTGCAGTGAGAAAATGATCATTCTACTCCCCATCTCTACTCAGCCTGAAGTTAGATTACCTGCACCATCCTCGTACCCATCTCAGAATGTCCAGAGAACAGGCAAAAGCATCACACACGATCCACTGGCAAACACTTCACGATCTGTTTGGGTGGACAAAAGAGCGCACATGAAACACAGAGCAATCAAAGCTGTGTGCAGTCACGCTCCCGTCTGTGTCCCAGATGTAGCCCTAGGATGAAAACAAGTGTTTGCGGAATTTGGTAGCCAAGGCCCTTCAACCTGGCTTTTATTCTCACTCCCCCACCCCCACACACACCCCCAACAACCAGTACCAAAGTCCATCAACCTAAGTAAGGTGGGCCGGCGTTCCTGACCCGGCTCCTGAGCCCATGCCGGTCATTCTCGGGTCCTCCACAGCAACACACAGGGAGGGCCCAGCGAGGATTGGGCGAGGAGCGGGAGAGCGCGGGGCTGGGGCTGGGGCTGCGGGGAGGGCGCGGCGGCAGCGCGGCGAGGGGCGCTGGGAGAGCGGCGGAGGGTCGGGGGCAGGGCGGGAGGTGCCGAGCGCAGCCAATCCCCGAGCCGCCCCCTCCCCGGCCGCCGGGAGCCGAGTCCGGGCGGGGGAGCCAGGCGGCGGCGGCGGCGGCGGCGGCGGCGGCGACGGAGGCTGCGGTGGGGAGGGATGGAGAGGGGAGGGGGGAGCGGAGCCGAGCGGAGACAGCCGCGGCGCTGCAGAGCGGCTGGGGCGGCGGCGCGGCTCCCGGTGCTCCCCCCGGCGCGCGCCCCGAGCCGGTGAGGGCCCGGCCCCGGAGGGCCACGGAGCCATGGGCTGCATCGGCTCGCGGACTGTGGGTGGGTACCGCGGCTGGGCGCGGGCCGGGGGCAGGACTCGGCCCCGGGTCGCTCCTCCGACCCCCTCCCCCATCCCTGTCCTCGCCCCTCCGGGTACTGCCTCGCGCCTTCACTTTCCCACCATCCGCCCGCGGTCCCTGCATCCCTCCGTGGCATCCCTCCGTCCTCCCCGCTCTCCTGTCGCGCCTCCAGGGCTTCCGTCCCTCTTGGGTCTTTCCCTTCTCTCCATCGCTCTCCCTCAGGCGCTGCCGCTCACCCCATCGTCTCTCCATCACCCACCCTCCGCTCTCCGTCCCCCACCCCCGCCATCCCTCCACCTTCAGGCCATCCGCCTTTACTCGATGGTGGTGCCCCGCGCCTCCGCGCCCCCCTCTGTTTCTGGAGCAACCCCTCTTCTAAGAACCTCTCTCCCGATCTCAGCCCCGATTCTGCCGCGCGCCCCCTTCTCCAGTCCCCCGCCACCTTCCTTTTAGCCTGGGTGTTTTGCCCCCAACCATTTCTCTCTCGGTTGCTTTTTTTCTGTCGTTCCTGCCTCCCCCGACTTGCTTTGTTCACGTGCATTTTCCCTCTGGGGCGGGGGCGGGATAAGCCCGATGTCTCGGGGAGGGGAACGGGTTCTTTGCCCAGAGAGAATGGGGCTGGACTAGGGTGGAGGGGAAGAGCCCGTGGACTCGGAGGAGGACGAGGGTTGGAGCCCCGAATGGGGTCAGGATCCCGTTTCCCAGAAGGGTGGGGCTCCGCCTAGGAACCCTGGGACCCGCCTGCACCTGTCAGTGGGGCTGGCGGGGCGGAGCCGTCTCTTTATTTACCTGTGATTGGGGGAGGGAAGAAAGGCGCCTCCTAATCTGTTCTCTTCCTTCAGGCTCTGCTTTACAACCACCCCCTTCTCCCCCACCCCATGCACCCACTCCACTCTTACTTCTTAACAAATTAATCCAGTCCTCTCCGAACCCCCCAATTTTCCCCTTCTTAACTCCCAATTTCTCCTTCTTACACGCCCCAGTGACCTAGGCTGAGAGAATAATTCGTATTATTATTACAAACAAACTCACTCTCTGAAAGCCTGATTTCAGAGGCCCGATTTATTTCCATGGAGACCCCCCTCCTCCTTTGCCTTCACCTCTTTCTGGCTCTCTTTCTCTCCCCTTCTCTGCCCTCCAAGACTCTGACTCAGCTCTCCCTCTTCCTCAAAGGCCACCTCCCCTTTTCCCCCTCTCCCACTCTCTTCTTCTTGCACCATTACTGCTCATGCCCCAAGCTCCTTTCAGTGCACCTCTTGCCAAGAGGGACCTGTGACCCTAAACTCAGAGTCACAAAACTTCATGTGTGTAAAAGGTCTGGAAGGGCAGAGGACTCAGGCAGCCTTTGATGTGTGGGTTCCTCTGTAACTATCTAAGAAGTCTTTCCAAGGCCTCAGTGGGTACCACACTGTGCTCAGGTCAGGAATCTCTCTCCTTGGCCCCTCACTTTTCTTGTCAGTCTTCCAACCCCGTCCATACCTCCCTTTGTTATTTGTGTTCTCTGTGGTTGAATGCTTATTTATTTATTTATTGTGGAGGTACTGGGTTTTGAACTCAGGGCCTTGTGCTTCCTAGGCAGGAGCTCTACACTTAAGCCACTCACCCAGAGAGTTTCTATTCTTATAACTCCTATTTTACAAAGTCCTCTTATCTCCTTCCCCTAACCCCATTCCTCCTCTTGAATCCATCACCTGTCTCCCAGGAGAGTTAGGTGCAGTATCTCCTTCTTACGCTTCATTCTTTCTGCTGTCACTGCTTCTGGGAGAACAGACTCAAGTTCTTGTCCTCCATCTCCTGCCTCTGTCCCCACCAAGATTTCTTCCTGTAGGACAATTTCACTCTCAAGGGAAGCTACATTCCTCCCATCCCTCAGATAATAAAGCCCACATGGAGAAGTATCCCCTTAGAGAAGTTCTGCCCTTGTTTGTAGAGCTGTAATTGGTGAAAAGCCCAGTCCTCTATGGAAACCTTCAAGATTCCTCAGGATAGAATGGAGCTAAATGGCTAAAACTCAACTTCTAACACCCCTTCCCCATGTAAACAACAACAGCAAAGGCCAGGAAACACTTTTTGTGTGAGTGCTATTCTCAGTTGAAATAAAACTAAGTATTTTGGCTCAGCATTATTATTTCTCTTACCAAAAATTTTGGGACAGTAGGGATGTAGCATGAAATGGGCAATCAGAAGAAGGCATGCTAGCTGCAGGGAGGGTTGGGGTGTGGAAGGCTCTTCCCAGTAGGTAGCCTCTTGTTTGTGGGAAAAGACCTAGAAGGGGGATGAGGGATAGCAATTAACCCTCTGGCTGCTTCAGGGAACGAGGTGATTGCAGTGGACTGGAAGGGCCTGAAGGATGTTGATCAAATCAACATGGACAGCACCAGCTCACTGCATGGGAGCAGCTTCCACCGGCCTTCTACTGAGGTGAGGTTCAGTGCTTGGCTGCCCCCTTTGCCAAAAACCAGTGGGATCAATGTTCCCCAAGACTCTGGCTGCCTGATCTTTACATTCTCTTCCTATATTCCATGGCAACATCCCAAATACTCCCTCAGACTGACAGTTTTACATAGCATTTCTCCCTGCGTTCCTGAAAATACACACCAAACATTCCACACTGAGACTCTCAGGAGAGCCTGCTTCACATTGCACACTTGCAGAAGTCCCTCTGAGGAAGGGAGGGTTGCTTTCCTTCCTGCAAGAGTCCAGGATACTATTCCCTTTGCTTTCTCCTACAGCAAACGCGAACCGATTTCTCCTGGGATGGCATCAATGTGAGTTCAGCCAACCCAACCCTCCCCAGACTACCCAACTCCTCTTCCTTACTCTCCCTGGACACTCCACAGGAGATGGTGCATGCCCTCATATGCTCCATGTAGACCCCAGTTTTCAAGGGTGGGTGAGCATATACCTTCTTTGGCCTTGGGTATAATGGTTTTTCCTTTCACTTGCTCCAGTATATACTTCTTTAAGCCATAAACTCTTCCCCATATATAAGGCACCCCAAACCTTTTTACTCCTCTGCCCCTCCTTCCATGTTTCCTATCCCAGCTCTCCATGGAGGACACCACTTCCATCCTTCCAAAGCTTAAACGAAACTCTAATGCCTATGGCATTGGGGCCCTGGCCAAGTCATCGTTCTCAGGTGAGACTCCTAACTTGGAGGTGCATTAGGGGAATATTTACAGACTCCTGGTCTCAGTCTCCCTGTTCTTCAGGCTTGATGAGGACCCCCATTCCCACTGCTCTGTCAAGCTTCTCCCATACTCAGTGCTACCCATCCTATATAGGTCCCCAGGGGGATAGAGTCCTGTGAGACTGAAATAGGGGTGATGGGGAGGGTCTGCTATGGGTATTGTGAATGGATATTGTGAGATATTCTGGAAGATGTGAGGAATGTCTGGTCCCTTAGGGATCTCAAGGAGCATGAAGGACCATGTGACAAAGCCCACAGCCATGGGACAAGGCCGGGTGGCCCACATGATCGAGTGGCAGGGCTGGGGGAAGACCCCAGCCATTCAACCTCAACACAGCCATGAGGCGGTACGCAGGGATACAGATGCCTACTCTGACCTCAGCGATGGTGAGAAGGAGGCTCGTTTCCTAGCAGGTACTTGGACCCCAAACTCTCAGGGATTGGTCTATGGACTGATCTCCCAACCTACTCCCCTATGGCAGGATTAGCTCCCTCCATATGTTGACCATAGGCTTATATTTCCCAATAACTTAATTTCAAGTATTTTTACTTGTTAATTCTGATAAATATCCTCATTTTTATTATAACCTCAGAAAATGAGAATTAGATGGGATTTGTGAGTCCACTGTCCCAGGCGCTTTCTTTCCTACATTGTGGGCCAGTCTTACTCCTAGACTGCCTTAGTATAGGAGAAAAACAGAGGGCCCTTGGGCTTAGAAATGTTCTGCTTCTACTCATGTTTCTGGAAGTGAAAGAAAGGCCTTAGAAATCTCTTCTAGCCTTGGTTATCAGCATTTGGTGTCATGAATTCACTTACTTACTGGCTCATTACTGTGACCACCAGTAGATGATCAAGGGAACTTAGAGATGTGGCTATAGAAGAGGCTGAGTTCTAAGGAAACAGTATAGAGTCAATGACGGGCATGTGGTGTACCTATAAGTATGGCCAAGCCCTAGTGGCAAGTTTCAGTAAGTACCTAGGAAGAGGGATTAGTCTGTTATGAGTAGTAGAGGAAACAGCACTGGGGGTGGGATGACACACTTGTAGGGGTAGAAAGAAATGACAAGGCACTCTCAATGTAAACTTCAATTTACTCATGGCTTTGACTAGAATAAGAACCCTTAAGTGCACCCATCCCCCCCACTACGCCTTTCCTTTTCCTTCCCTTATAATTCCCTGATGCTCCTTTCATCAACTAGATTACTCTGCTTTCCACCAGCTAATACTAGGTTCAATTCCTAAAAACCTCCAAACTTCAGAAAATCCCTAAATTTAGTTTCTTAGGATATCTCTCCAGAAGGCATTCCCCTCCAACTCTTTGACTTTCTGGAAAATCTCCCACAGTTTTGCCATGTTTCAATGTATATACAAAGGCTATGCTGTCTTGTAAAATAGCCACTGGCCACATGTGGCTATTGAGGATTTGAAATGTGGCTAGTCCCATTACAGACGTGCTGTAAGTGTAAAATATTGACTAGATTTTAAAGACTTCATATAAATAAAAGAATGTCAAATATCTCAATAATTTTTATATTATGTTGAAATGATAATCTTTTATATATTGAGCTTATACATTATGACAGTATTAAAATTAATTTCACTCTAATTTTTTTTTGGCAGTATTGTTGCTTAAAACACTTGCTAGTCAAGTGCTCTGCCACTTGAGTCATGCCACCAACCTTTTTTGCTTTAGGTTTTTTTTTTTTAAGATAAGTTCTTGCTTCACCTCCACCCCCATCCCCAGCCAGCCTGGAACTTCAATCCTCCTTCCTATACCTCCTGGGTAGCTGGGATTACAGGCACAAGCCAACACACCTGGCCTAGTTTTCTTAAGTGTGGCTCCTAGAAAGTTTAAAATGATATAACTGGCATGCATTCTATTTCTACTGAACAGTGTTGCACTAGGGTGTCTCCCCACTCCTTGCAAGTATCTAAGTGTTCTCTGAGGAATCTTGAGGTGACTGCATTTCTTCTTATAGGTGTCATGGAACAGTTTGCTATTTCTGAGGCTACACTCATGGCCTGGTCTTCCATGGATGGTGAGGACATGAGTGTCAACTCCACCCAGGAGCCATTGGGCTGCAACTACAGTGACAACTACCAGGAGTTGATGGAGAGTCAGGGTGAGAGATGGTTCCACAATCCAACCCCTGGGGCCAGGAGGCTTTCCACTTATCTAGGCTACCTCTATTTTTCTCTGTTCTTTCAGGACTGTTCTGTTTCTGTCAGTTTTCCCAATGTCTTCCCTACTCTTGTGTGCCCTCTATGTGTGACCCTCAATTTTGTGGGGTGTCATTTCTGCCTGTGATGTTCTGTGGCCTCTCTGACCTCACTCATTCTCTTTACAGATGCCCTAGCTCAAGCACCCATGGATGGCTGGCCTCACTCTTATGTGTCCCAGGGCATGTACTGTCTGGGGTCATCAGATGCCTGGGAAGCAAGTGACCAATCCCTCATTGCCTCTCCAGCCACAGGATCCTATCTCGGCCCGGCATTTGATGACTCACAGCCCAGCCTGCACGACATGGGGCCTTCACAACCTGCATCGGGATACTCTGCTCAGGAACCGCCACCTTTACTGGTGGGGGACACTGACTGGGTACAAGGGGTGGTTGGGATGGACCTGGCCAGGGGCCCTACTGAGGAGGAGAAGAGGCCTCTGGCCACCGAGGAGGAAGAGGATGCAGGATGCCGGGATCTGGAGTCTCTGTCCCCACGAGAAGATCCTGAGATGTGCACTGCTCTCAGCCGGAAGGTGTCTGATGTCACATCCTCAGGTGTGCAGTCTTTTGATGAGGAGGAGGGTGAGGCCAACAACTAGCTTCCTCCCACACTACTCCCACCTGAGGGGCATGGCTGTAGCCCCCAACCTCCCTTGCTCCAGCAGCACAGCTGAATCTGAGCAGAAGACAGCTGGGAACGTGGAGCTTCCGGCGCTCACCTACATGGAGGTCCAGCAGGGGATTTTATCTAGGCTTACACTCCAGAAACTACAGATTCAGGAACTGAGACCCAGGCAACTAGATGGCTGTGCACCTGGTATGACTGTGGGAGAAGAGCTGCAGCTAAGGGCTCCTGGGTCTGTGCCCGGGTGCGGCCGTGCTGGAGACTGGATCTCAGTTCTTCACTCCCTGATTTCGTCTTCCAGGAGCCTTGGCTATGCTGTTTGAATGCCTCCTTTTTCCATTTCACTATTGCTTTCCCGACTCTGTTTTCTCTGGCTGTGGTCCCAGTTCATCCCTACTGTGAGGAGCAGACCTCAGGGGCTGTTGGACTTGGCTCTATAAGCATGGGGGAAGTGGCCTGAAGGGCAGGTCTTCATCCAGGGTTGATAGGCTGCCCTCTGCAGGTGATTTGGCTTCTGAGATCAGGAGCCAAGAAGGAGGTGGAGTTGGCATTAATTAACTGGGATTTACAATGAAACAAGCATGATTTTTTTTTTCTCTCAAGGCCTGCCCAGAGACAAGAGGGCCACAGATGGGACCAAACACAAACATGGCCACTTCTGGGATCTTGAATATCCCATGGGTGAAAGGAGGATCCTAAGGATCTGGGAAGAGACCCAATGGCTGGCCACGTCTGGCCCTCTTTCCTGCCTTCTTCCATTCTCTGCTCCAGGAGCCTGGTCCTGGCCCTGAAGAGGATGAGGGGACACCAGACTCAGATATGCTAACACAGGATGTAGTGTTCCCATCAGAGTGGGAGCATGAGGGCTGGGCCTCCCCCCACCCCTAATTCTCTGGAGCTGTTTACACTTTTCTCTTTGCCTTTTCTACATTTTTATAACTTCTTGGGGACTCAGGGTTGAGCAGGGTGGACAGGGGAGTCCGGTGCTGTCACTGCCTTGGTGGGGTTGGGCTGGTGGCTCAGGGCCAGGGTGGCATTGACTTCTTCTGCTCCTCCCATGTGTCCTCCCTCCTTCCCAGACCACCCAGTGGAAGAAGAAGGGAGAATCAGCACTCTTCCTTGCAGGGCAGTTTGCTGTGAGGCACAAGTGTGCTCACTCACATTTCACTTTGGAGTGGAATGTAGGGACAGGGAGCAGCAAGTCAGCTCAGCACTTTTGTAAGGGCACATGAGGGCAGGGACCTGGCCTCCACTGCTGTAGTGGCAGCCCCCTCTTGGCCCTTGGCATAGGCAGAGTTTGGGTAAAAGAAGCCTAAGGCTCATTGCTCTGTTCCTGTCTTTCCTCCTGTCTAAGGCTCCAGCTCCTAGGCCTGTGTCCTGCTACACTGTCAGAAGTCCTAAACTAACCCCTCCCCACAGCCTGTCTATGGTTTTGGAATGAGGAGGCTAATAGCTGGGTGTTTCTGTCCATCTATGACCCTGCCCCTGTCAAGTTCATATTCTCACAACTCACCCCTGAAGTGCAACCAGAGCAGGTGTCCCATATCCTCCAGCGGAGGGGGAGAATGGGATTCTGAGATGGAAGAAACATGGGTGAAGAGGTGCCAAGCCAAGGTAGGTGAGCAGTCACTTGCCTTATCTAATGCTGCCTGAGTGGGAGAAGATACCTCTTGTGTTTGCTAACATGTTGTGGTTCTGTGTACCAGGGCCTTACTTCTAGGAGGTCTGGGAAGGACTAGCATGCCCACTCTGGCCCCAGTCTCCTGCCACAGGCCCCTGGGCTTGTGCATGCTTATGCTACTCTCCTCCCAGGGGTCCGCTTCCTTGCCTTGTCCCACCCACTCATCATCTCATCACGCATCATCTCCTGTTTCATCCCCTCAGTACCACATTTTCTTCCCCCCGATGAAGGTGGACATATAATACAGTGTGTGAGTTCATTCATTACAATTCTCTCTCGCTCAGGACCCTGAGAAGTTAGGAAGGGTAGACTAAAGCAGCTTTCTTTCCTCCCTCCCTTTCCCAAGAAAGCCAAAAGGTCCCTTGTGAAAGAGAACTAAAGACCTGAAGGTGCCTAGTAGGATTCGCACCTGAGCAGGGACTTGCTTTCCCCAGGAGCCGGCACATGGCCATAGACAGAGAGGTCCAGTGGGGTCTGCCTTTATCTTGGCACTGTGACCCCACCCTAAAGAGAGAGAAGACCCCGGGAGCTGGCCAGGACAACTCTGGACTCTTCTGAAGGGAGGGACCATCTCTTTGGCACTGGGGCAGGGTGCATGGGGGTTTGCTTCTAGCCTATTTTAAGGGGAGGGGTGGGGCATGTGCAGGACGAGGCTGTTGGGGGGTGGGAAGGGTTGCTTTTCTTTGGGGTTAAAGGCTGTGCAGCACGTTTTACAGCAGCTCTAGAGCAGGGCTGTTTTTATATTGTGAATGAAACTGCTCTTGCTAAATGATTTTTTTGGGGGGTGCACTTTCATTTTCAATTGATTTTATTAAAGGAAATCCAAATTTTCCATTCCTCCCCCTCTATTCCTCCCCTACTTCCTTCTTATCCTTGTGTTAAGGAGGGAATCTTGGGGGAATGAGTTTATTATCTTCTCCTTGTCCTCATTTACACATCCCACACTCTGTCTTCCAGGTCTGAAAAATACCCATTTTTATGGCTGGTCATAGCATGTTTTCTTAATGTGACATTCCCACCCCAGGCCCAAGAGAGATTCTATGACATTACAGAGAGAATTCTATATAAATATATAAATATTATAGATTATATACACATGGGCATGGACTTGGATGCTCACTGCCAATCCCCTTATCCAGGCCTCAGCATCTCTCAGCCTGGGGAGGTGGAAGGGATGTGATGCTGGAGAGAGCCAGAAGCTGTGTTCAATGACACTAAAACAGAATGTGGTGGCATCCTCTGACTATGAGTGTCTTATTTGGGGGCTGCAGTAGACTGGGCACAGGGGAAGGGCAGGAGGAGAATGCCAGATGGAGGGCTCAACTGCAGAACTAAGTAAGGCATTCAGGGAGGGAGGGAGAAAAGCCTGGGGTATGGAGCCAGAACACCTGACTTCTCTTTTTAGGGAAGGCAAGCTAATGGTATGCTCCACATCCACCAGACTCCCTGCTGCTGATTTGGGAGGACAAGGATACGACTGCCCTAAGAGTGGGAAACACCAAAAGGCCTGCGATCCTGAGGGTGCTCCTAACTCTCCACCCAAGAAAAACATGAGGAGCTAGTCTAGGAAGGGCTGAGACCTGAATGACCCACTGCCCTTGCACAGAACCTTGGTTCTCTGCAGGAGCAACTCCAGCTAGAATGGCTCCATGGCAGAGCTGACCCTTGGAAAGACAGATCAGTTACTGCAGTGGGGAAAGGGAAGATGCATGTTTTAGGGGTAACCTGGAAACCAAGGGTGATGATCTTGTGATATGAAACAAGGAGGGCTTTCTGCTAGAGGGAGTCAGAAAATACCATGAGGCCATGATTGTTTGGTAATAAGACACCAGCCCCTTCTGGGTGGAGCCTTTGTCGATGTTTTCTTTTCCAGGCAGCTGCCCTTGATATCCACATTTCACTGCTTGATGCAGAGGACAGAAGGGGAATGGGGTTGGCCTCTTCTGCCCTAGCAATGAGCCTGGCCTGGAGCAGCCAGGATAGGATCTGGGGGCAGATTGTAGGAAACAGACATGTGCACTCAGAAGAGCTGTGCAGGGGGGAGGGGGGGGGCAAGTGGGCAGGGGGAGGGTAGGCTCCCAGAGAAGCAGCTGTGGGCAGTTTGGAGGCACATTGTGGGGTGGTCAATCCACAAGGCAATGAAGTGGTCCCACGTCCCCTCCAGTGTGGCACTTACAGAGGCACAGTCATTAGACAGACAAGATCAGGACAGCACTGGGCCAAGAACAGTGGGAATTATGGGGAGATAGCAGGAGGTAGGGACCCTACCCACATAGCAGGAACACCCAGAAAATCCCACTGAACAGTAGGGACCCTTCACATGGTTTAGAACCACCTGTCAGTCTGGGAATGGGGGATCAGTCTACATAACTAACCTAGACTCTGCCCACATTGTGACTCCTTAAGTGATCTCTAACATATTTAACAATTCCTGGGAGGGGCAAGATATAGGTGTGACCTCCCTACTTCAAGACACCACTGTTGCACACAAGTCTACCTTCTGGCATGGGACCCCACGACCTTTATGAGGAGAGCCCAGGCAGTGGTCACAGAATCAGTTCATCCTCATCTTCCTCATCGGTTGATCTCAGACTGGGTCCCTGCAAGATGTCAGCCAGCTCCTCTTCCAGTCCTGAGCTCTCCACCAGCTCCAGCTCTTCCAGCTCACCTTCTGCCTTGGCTGGGACCAGCAGGCAAAGGGGCTCTGGGGAGGGGGGTGGCACAGGTGTCTCTGGGGAGGTAGGAGCCACATCCTCTGCTCCAGGGGCTCCAGCACCATCCTGTGCCAGGCTCCAGCCTTCTGCAGGAGGGAGTGGTCCCCCGGTGTTCTTTCGAGTGGAAGTTGTGCTCCGAAAGCTGGCAAGTGGCGGGCGAAGCTGCACCCCTGATTTGGTGTGGCCCTCAATGGCCTTCTGTAGCTGAGGAGGAGTGGAAGAATGAAAGAGGTAGAAAATGGGAAAGAGAAAGAAGATAGGGGCAGTGGCAGAGAAACAGTAGAGAAAAATAGCCACAACAAGGAAACAGGAGTGGAAAGAGTCAGAGGGATAAGAAAGAAAAATGGAGAAGTGGACAACAGGAAACAAGCAAAGAGAGAAGACAGATTCAGGAAGGGACAAGGACAAGGCAAAAAGCTCTGCCTGCACAGCCAGACTCTACAGTTCCCCTGACTCAGACTTCACATTGACTCTTTCCCTTCTAGTGACCTCCTTGTTCCCCCTCCCATATCCCTACCCATAGCACACTCCTGTGAGGTGTGACTCATACATGAACTTTATCTGTCAAGAAACCTATACCATCAGATGAGATCTGAGATATCAACACTATCCCTTCTCCACTCATACCCCCTTGTCCTGTGTCCTTCCCTCCCTTCTGCTGCTCAAGTGGGACCCACTGCAGTTACCTCTTCCAGTGCCAGAACACCTCTGAGCTTCCCCATACTGGTCACATAGGCAAGATGGAGGCCAAGAAGTGAGAAGAGTGTATGGGTCTGAGTGGGGAGAGCACAGGTCAGCATGTTTCCCCACCAAAACCTCCCCCAGACCCAAGTCCTGAACAGTCAGCAAGGGCTCACCTTGTGCAGGGTGGTCTGCTCCACCAGCTGAAAGGGAGACTGGTCGATACAACAGCAGTCAAAGCAGACAGGCTGGCTCAGCTGCTCCTGTTCCCAGGCTTCAATCTGTGGGACCGACCAGGAAATTCACCAGTGTCATAGATGATCCTACAACCTCAGATGCCTGGCTTTGACCTGCAGTCCTCCTGACTCCAGCCCAGAATCTTGCAACATGCATGAATCATCAGGTACTCCTGATCAGTAGAGCCCTGCCCCCTTCTTCCCGGGGAATAGCACCTCTTCCTCCCGAATTAGGCCTGAAATTTACCCTTCAGGTTCTCAGAACTTGGCTCCCTCTTCTAGTCCTCCAAGTCTTCCACTCCAGGGACCCCTAAACATTTATTTCCAACCTGTCTGTCCAACCTTATTTGCCACTACATCTATAGCCCCACTGCTCCAATCAAACCACACTGCTTCTTGTTCTTCAGAACTGCTTTCCCATTGTCTCTGCTATTTTACCACCTGTGCCTGACCCTGCCCACTCACACCGTGTCTTTCCTAACTCTCTAGTCAGACATGTTTTCCCTCTCTTTTAATTCCAGTCACATTTTGCAGGTCTTTTCTTATGAGGAATAGCATTGGCAGTACTCAGCCTTGTACATTTGTCTTTTCTCTGCTTATTGGACATAAACTCCTTGAGAGTGTTACATGGTATTTATTGCTGGAGACTAAGGACACTAGCAGTTGCCTCTTCATGAGTAGAGCAGGTGACTACTTGTTGAATCAGAACAGACTTACTGCATCGTGTGGCACTTATTTGACTTGAGAAAGGCCATATTTTGTTTTTATTTTCAGTCCATGACAGAAGCATTAATACACGAAGGTCAGCTATCCTCTGGACTTCAGATATGCACACCAAAACACCCAAGACTCAGATAAGCTGTTGTATCGCAGGTTTTCATAAATGAATCTGAGATTTCCCAAAATTGTTCTTCAATCAGTACCTTCTGGGTGATGTGGTACTTTACTTCTTGCTTTTCTATGTGTCCAAATATGTGCCTTTAAGCTTCAGAGGTTATCAACAAAGGTTAGTTGTTCTAGGACTGAGTATGCAGTCCACAGTAAGGTTCCTACTATCTGTCCTTTCCCACATTTCTGGATACAGTCATGCATCCTCTAAACTCCCATCTTCATAACTAAAAGTTCACATGCAATTTGAACAGTTCTCAGCACAGGAGGATTACCACTTAGCAGACATGCTGCAGAGAGAACTGAGGGTTTTGGGTACAGGATGGGTTGGGTTGATCATGTTTTTTGGTCTGTTCTGTGATCATTCCAGACCTTCCCAGCTTTCATTTTTGCTTTTCCTTTAGTAACAAGAGCAGTGACAACATTTTCAGAGAACATTTACCAGAACTTCTTCTGTTCTGGGCATTATTCTAATTGCTTTACATGTCTTAACTCATTGAATACTCCCAAAACCCCCATCTTCATCTTCATTTTACAGATGAGAAAGTAGAGGCACACAGTTCTGATACAGTTTGCACAAGACTTCATAGTCATCAATTAGTGGAGCTGGGCTTTTAGCTTTGTGTGCTGACCATGTTCCAGATACAGCTCCAGCTTCTGTCCAAGGGGAGGAGGATGTTGCTGTTGGCTTTTGTGAAAAACTGAGCATGAGTTAAAAACCAGAATCAAACTGTGTGCTCCCTGAACAGAATACACAGAATTGAACAAATCATAGGGGGCTTCAGGTGAGTTCTCTCAATATTGAATTTTTTATAACATCTATACTGCTCCCATACTGTTTTTGTCAACATCAACATCTTGATATTGTCAAGGTTGTCATCTGATCTGAAAACTGTATTTAAAAAAAAAACTGAATTCTGACTCTTACTGGATATTATCTCTCCAAGTTATCTCAAGCATGGGCTTTGGTAGCTCCTTTAAGTCTCCCTTGGGAAAGACATAAGCTAGAACTATATGATCTATCTTCTTTTTTATATCTGGCTACACTTTATTTTCAACAGTCATTAAATAGCCACACTGAACAACTAGCTGATTTTCACTCTTTTTGGTGCAACTATATATATATATATATATATATATATAACAATTTAACAAATTACTCCTTAAATGCATTTGTAACCCATCTGATTCCTGCTTGTGGACAGAAGGACAAGTTCTTCTTTTGCCTCTGTGATCATTTATTTGACACTTTATAAGTAATTTCTTAGAAGGATGTGTGTTTGGAGAGGTGGGAGGGGGAGAAAAAGGAAGGTTCCTTTCCTCCCCTCCTTCTTTCTAGTACTTCTAATCTTCAGCTCATATTTATTCTGGATGTTCAATAAAATGTCTATTTTAAAACAGAATGCACCATGGCTTTTGTCAGCTATGTACTTCAAAAGCTCTGCCTTTTCATCCTTTGCAGACAGTCCATACACTCTCTTACTACATGGAATAGTTGCTAATGGATTTTTTTTGTTCCTCCACAACCCCTACAGCCTGTTCTGACCAGGCTTCCAACCACCACTCACATTCTGTTCACTCCTCACACCAAGCACACTCAGCATTTGATTTTTCTTTGTGGACTTTCCCCTTTTAGGAAACAGAAATTTGTCTCTATGAGGCAGGACTTCCATTACTTGCCTTTTACTTGTACTTCTTCCCAGTCTTGCTACCTGACATTTTCCAGGTGTCCACTGTCTCAGGGCCTGCTTGGTTCAGTGCAGTAACCTCTACCAGGGTGGATTTCACCATTGGATTTTTCATGCAGTTCCTCCTGTTATTTTTTAGTGACGGCTCCCTGGTGTGATTTTACTTTCGGCAAATCCCATCCTTTCTGAGTAGCATAAGGCTGCCCTAGAATATCCCTTATGTTCACCAAGGCTCATCTTAGCACCATGGTTCCTATCTACACAAGAAGGCTCAGAGCTTCCTTTTGTTCTTTTCTTTTCTTTCTTTCTTTCATTTTGATAAAATTGGGGTTTAAATTCAGGAACTTGCACTTGCTAGTCAGGAACTTGCACTTGCAAGGCAGGTGCTCTATTACTTAAGCCATACCCCCAGCCTTTTTTACTTTAGTTAATTTTAGAATAGAGTGTTGTGTTTATGCCTGTGCAGGCCTGGACCACGATCCACCTGTTCATGCCTCTTGTGTAGCTGAGATAAACTGCATACCACCACACCCAGATTTTTATTGGTTAATACAGGGTCTTGTGAACTTTTTGCCCAGGCTGGCCTCAAATGGTGATCCTCCCAGTCTCTGCCTCTAGAGAAGCTTGGATTATAGGCATAAGCTGAACTCATTACTCTCTCCATAATCGTACCTTATTCCAATTTCTCAAAATGCTTCCTTGTCTAGACTCATGTTTTACCCTTAATAACACAATAAATAAAGTAGGATAAAATTAGTAATATATCATTGGATTGAACAAGCCACCCCCAGGCTGCGGCTTTTCCTTCTTACCTCTTCAGGTAACATGTTATCCACTAAATCCATTGAATCCTAGAGGAGAAAGACATAAGACCAAATTCTTGCCATTGTCTACCAAACTAGTTATGGTTCCCAATGAAACAGTAACAGTGTTTCCCTGCTAGGGCCACAGAGCCTCACTTCCAAGTCATCCTTGTGGGAGCTTTGCCTCCTGATGAAAAACCAGTTTTTCACTCCTCAAAGATAAGCTCCCTTTTCCCTATTTTGATTAAACATGTCTCCTCTCACCTGGGTTGTTTTCTTCTTTGTGGGGTGAGCTCTGCCCAGCAAGCAGTGCAGCAGGCACTGGAAGATGGAGCATCTTTGACCTGAAAGGAGTGACAAGTGGATGGAGGGAGTGGTCAAGGAGCTCCTAAGTGTTCCCTGACACTGTGCCACCAAAGAACTTCACTTCCCAGGTAACTCAGACACCCTGCTTGTACCTCTGCCTCTACTCCCTGGGATGGTAATATGGAGAATGGATCATTAAGAGCCCCCTCCCACCCTCTTCTAGCCTCACACCTCCTCATAGCAGTACCCCTTAGTTGGAGTTGAATCCAGACATAACCCACAAGGCACAAGTTAGGGGGTGTGTCAGGAGGTCTTCACCTGCAGGCTCTGGGGCTTCAAGTGGCTGTTTGTGGCTGGACAAGGGTCCATTGGGCTCCTCAGGAGAAGATGGGGCAGTAGGAAAGTATACAGGATGAGAAGAAAGAGTAGGCAGCTGAAAGAAATAGCAAAATTTCTTAGTCTCAGCGAAGAGTGTACTTGATACTTCACTGCCTTTACTAGTGGGTATCCTGGGAAATCTAACTCTCTTCCTCTCCCCAGCTCAGAATTCCTATATCCCTTTGAATTCTCATAAATACTATCACTTGCAACCTTATCTCTTTTAGTGACACCACCCCAAGGCACTGATCTCATTAGCACGAAATCCAGAACTCTGGCTTTCTCACCAGTGTCTTCCCTCCCTTTTACTTTTACTTTCCCCTGCACCTTTTGCAGCCCAGCCCATCTATCACTACACCATGGAGATGTCGCTGGCGACCCCTGGTGACGCCTTTCCCTTTGCTTCCTTCTGTCCTGCTTCCCTGGCCTTTCTCAGATTGGTCACCTCAGTCTTCCCGGAGAGGTCCTCATCTTCATCCTCATCCACAAAAGCGAAGGACTCTGGCCGGCCCTGAGGCACACCGCCTGGGAGGTCCACTGCAAGGCGCATCTTGCCGTCATAGGGCAGCTCGGACAACTTCTGTGCCATGTCCTGGGCTGCCTGCAGCCTCCGCTCGGGACACAGGTGGCGCTGCAGGAGGGACTGCAGCTCTGAGCGCTCCACGGAGCCCAGCAGGACCATTGACTCTAGGAGACAGCCACACTCCCCTGAGGGCCTGCTCTACACTGCACTGCGGCACCACTGAGTCCTCAGCGGCAGGAGTCCACAGCCTCTTTCTTTTTTCAGCTTTTGCTCTCTCGTCTTAAAAATTCATTTAAAACTCCTCCAGGATTGACCTCACTCGATCCCTTCTATTTCACCCATTTAGCACTTACAGACCCAACTGGTAGCACACTAATTGGTGCTAATGTGTACTTCTTTGGAAGCTGTTCCTATATACAATCTTTGCAAATAGGTGAGCACGGTATTAAAACAGGCTAATCAACCTGATCCGAATAGAATGAAACATGAAAAGTCATTCAAACAGGCTGAGATGTTAATATACTCCGAAAGAATTCTACAAGTAATTCAAGCATTATGTCTTCTACCCTAAAAAAGGGAAACAAGGAAATCACCTTTCATGCCTGAAAGAGCTAGGTTCTTCTAGGATATAAACAAAATGCTACTTTTCCTGAGACAGTCTTTTATATGTTTATAGAATTCTGCTATAATAATTAACATTTTCAGTAATAAGTCCATGAAGTTGCAGCAGTGCTATTAAGATAAATTTTACTGCTAAGTCTTCATCATTATTACAAAATCCTGCACCTCATTAGCTGTACCCTTGCTCCAACAAAGTGCCCTTGCTTTAGAAGCTACTTAGAAGGTGTCTGAGCTTAGGGGAAATATATGCATTAATCTAGTTTGAGAAATTTGGATACTCTGATTACCTAAAATCAAGAACTAATAATTTTAATGATTCCAAATAACCTGACTTAATTTTTCTCTATTGCACTAATTCAAATGCGGGAAAAGTATTTACAGAATAAATATAGAATAAATAAATATAGAAAAGTATTTTAGAACTCTGGAAATACAGAAGTTATAGTCTCTACCCTCAAGGAATACCCAATCTAGTAAGAAAGAGAAGACATAAATATATATAAACCACAATATGAAATAATGCAAGCAGGACAACGTGCCAAAGGTAAGCAGGGAGGATGGTGAAGGAAGAGAAATGGAAAGTCACCATTTACAAAAACCATTCACTCCATAGGGAACATTTTCTGTCTCCCTTAGGTTGGGCATTAAAGAACAGATGTGGTATAGCTAAGTAGGAAAAGGCCCTGAGTTTTATTCCCTATTTGTGAATGTGCCTACTCACAAAAATATATTTGCAGCCCCAAATCAATACTAGAGATACTTTATGCAGAGTAACAAAAAATTTGAGTTGTCTGTGCTCATGTTCCCAGCTGAGGTTGAACAAATCAGCACTAAGCTCTCATTTCAGCTCGAGTACTATAAACAAAAGTGTTCTTTTGCAGTCTACTTAATGTCAGGTTGTTTTTCACATCTTTTTGCTTTGTGTGATGATTTTGCCATTTAAAATGGCCCCAAGATATACCCAAAAGACTGTGACACAGGTTACTCCAGAGGCACCTGCACACCCATGTTTATTGCGGCACTATTCACAATAGCCAAGTTATGGAAACAGCCAAGATGCCCCACCACTGACGAGTGGATTAAGAAAATGTGGTATCTATACACAATGGAATTTTATGCAGCCATGAAGAAGAACGAAATGTTATCATTCGCTGGTAAATGGATGGAATTGGAGAACATCATGCTGAGTGAGGTTAGCCTGGCCCAAAAGACCAAAAATCGTATGTTCTCCCTCATATGTGGACATTAGATCAAGGGCAAACACAACAAGGGGATTGGACTATGAGCACATGATAAAAGTGAGAGCACACAAGGAAGGGGTGAGGATAGGTAAGACACCTAAAAAACTAGCTAGCATTTGTTGCCCTTAACGCAGACAAACTAAAGCAGATACCTTAAAAGCAACTGAGGCCAATAGGAAAAGGGGAACAGGTACTAGAGAAAAGGTTAGATCAAAAAGAATTAACCTAGAAGGTAACACCCACGCACAGGAAATCAATGTGAGTCAATGCCCTGTATAGCTATCCTTATCTCAACCAGCAAAAACCCTTGTTCCTTCCTATTATTGCTTATACTCTCTCTTCAACAAAATTAGAAATAAGGGCAAAATTGTTTCTGCTGGGTATTGAGGGGGGAGGGAGAGGGAGGGGGTGGAGTGGGTGGTAAGGGAGGGGGTGGGGGCAGAGGGGAGAAATGACCCAAGCCTTGTATGCACATATGAATAATAAAAGAAAAAGGGAAAAAAAATAAAAATAAAATGGCCCCAAACATAGTGCTAAAGTGCTACCTGGTGTTCCTAAGCACAGGAAGGCTGTGCTGTGTCTTCCTGAAGAAACATGTGCTAGGTAAGCTTCATTAGGGCATGATTATAGTACAGTGGGCTGTGAGTTCAGTGTCAATATATCAACAATATCTATTAAGTAAGATGTCTTTAAATACAAATACACATAAACCACAGTCATGTACTGATTGACAAAAATGCTGTAAACAAAGGCTCAAAGGAAACTATCTTCTTATGTTTCTTATGAGAAATTGTTCAGTATAGCATTCACTAATTTTATGTGGGAGACTATAGAATATAACTGCTATGAATTATGAAAATCAACTATATTTTTTTAACTGAGTTTTAGCTATTTTCATGTGCATGTGTTATGGCTATATTCTTCTTCTTCAAGGAAGACCATGTTCCCTAACTCATATGGGAGGTTGGACTTCCCATCACATGTTGGATGGCCCTAAAGACAGGCCCACATCACTTTGCCTCCTTTTTCTCTATGCAAACCTAGTTTAGGTCACCAGCTCTGGAGTTAGGAGTTGGCCTCCTTCCTTCCCACTGACCTTTGGAATCAACCAGTGGTAAAGTCTTGACTGTGGTGGTCTGGAGTAGGTTTCTCAGTTCCCCATATGTGCAAGAAGCTGAAACAAACTTCACATCACGTACCATGATGTCTTCAACAAAGATTGTAAATTTGCTATGGAAGAAGAAGGCACGCTGGGTTAGCTCTACTGTATGTTTATGCCTTTTCTGTCCTTCCTTTCTCCCATGAGGCTTGCCATATATTTGGTCACTCACAATATTTATTAATATTGGGAACATGAAAATAATTAAAAACAGTGCTTCCCAACATGGACCATAACCTCATTTTCCACCTCAGAACATCCCACTTCCCATGAAAGCCAAACTAATTCCATCTAGTGTCCCTGACCTGAGCTGGTTCCAACCAAGATCAGGCAAGTAAGGAAGCTTCTTGACCTGGATGATGCTGTCATAGAGGGAGGGCTGCAGGCTCTGAGCCACCATGTTGGCCAAGATAACAGCCACCATCATGGGTAGGATGTGAGCAATCTGACCCGTTAATTCGAAGCAAATCACAGCTGTAGAAACTGTGTGGGACACAGCACCTGTCAGCGCCGCTGCTCCTGGAATAACAGGGATACGTCGAAGGGTTAGGGCTATCATTCTTGGCACAGAGAATATATAGGATGTGATGGGAGTGACATGGAATGGGATACAGGACCCTGGACAGTGCCAACTCTCCCACAATAATGTATTGTCACAAGTAGGGGCTACAAATGCTGATAAAAAAATTATCCCTTGGATCTAATTGTATAACTTTTGGTAAGTCACAAAACACTGTGTGTGCCAAAATTTTCATTTATAATGTGAAAAAGGTCATGTCTTTTCCATTCTTTGCTTTTGAAAGTTTGGATTACTCTTTTTCTTTGGGGGGGGAGCGGTTAGACCAGAGTTTGAACTCAGGGCTTCATGCACGCAAAGCAAGTGCTCTACCCGTTTAGTCACACCTCCAGTCTTTAGATCACTCTTAATTGAGGAGTGATGGTAATTTACCTTGGGCCTCAGGTGTTGATGTCAACAATTAATGTGTGAACACAGCGAAAACCCAAGAATTACCCTGTGGACTTCAAGGAATGAGACCTGAATCATATCCTAACTCTATGTCTCAATTCTATGAAGTGAGCTTAATTCCTCTAGAATCCATACTCTCACATGTAGAGTGAAAGGTTCATTAAGTGATTTGGAAGGCCCTTTCAGATCTAAAACTTAATGATTCTATAGGTTCACTGAAGTAGAATCCATCTTGCTTATTTTTTAGTTGTTTCCCATTAACCCAAATAGTCTCATGTGCATTAATTATATTTCTTATTTAAATATAAGGGGATATCCTATACACAAAATGTTGGGGAAAGCATATGTGAAGATGTAACCATAAAAAGTCATAAAAGGGAAATAATGGGAGGAATGACACTATTGGGTGGTACATACAACATAGTTCAGGTGTACTGGGAAATGTACACCAGGAAAGATGGGGAAAGATACCCGAGAGGCATGAAGCAAACAGAGGAAACCTACTTATAAAAGAAGCTTTTACAAAGGGACTGGGAGAGGAGAATAGGGTACCATATGCGCTACAAAGCTGGCTAGTTCTTCTCCATCTAAAGAAGGCCTGGCCTTACATGTTATGGGGATTTGCTGAAGAGGGGAGAGAAAGAAGAGGCATAATAATCCTGAGAATTATAGTGGACATAACCCTATCTCAGAAGTCATTTTAGAGTGAAGAAACAGACTCAGAAATGTAAGTAATTTGCTCCCCAGTTCCCAGATAACAAATGGCTGGGAAGGCCTAGAGCTCTTGACTTTTAGCTCTTACTCCTGTATTCTTAGTCCCCATAAATTTTGCCACATCTCAGGTTGAGTGTACCCAAGTCTGTCACCTGCATTGTTGGTTCCAGGATTCTTAGTAAAGAAAGAAAAAGTTTACCAAACATCCAGATTGTTTTCATCCTCATGTTCTCATTTAATTCCTATTTTTCCTTTTCCACAGGAAACTAAGGCTCATAGAAGTTCAGAAAGAGCTAATGAGAAGCAGAGCTGAGGATTATTTGAACAAAAATTGAATTAAATAACATTAAATTAAACCATTTTGTATATGAAGAATACTGGGAGGGTCTGTAGGAATTTGGGATCCTCAATACTTGATTGCTAGAGGATGGGAATATATCTCACCAATTACTGCATAACCCCCAGGTAGAATCTTGTAGATGATATCATCAAATAAGATACCATCAGGGAACAGCATGGCCATGATCTCTCCTACCAGCCTTCCAAATGCAGCTCCTAGAGAGAAGATAAAAGAAGGAAAAGTGTTGCAAGATCCAAGTTCCTTATTCTCTATGTTTTCACGCTAATCTGTCCTTGGGCATTAAGACTGAATACAAACTCCCAACATCCCAGTTTTTTTCTTGTTTTACTAGTACCCTATAATGCAGCTATCAGTATGATGCCATCAGATCTTACCTAGCACAAACACAGGCATAAAGCCTCCGCAGGGTATGGGCATAGTGGTGGCTACAATGGACATCCAAAACTAGGGTAAAAAAGAAGGATTAGAATACCCTCTCAACTCTACCCCTCTCTTCTTCTTCTTCCCTTCCTCCCTCCCTCCCTTCTCATTGTCTGCCTCCTTCCTGTTTCAAAAGTCATCACAGAAATCCTGGGATAGCTAATCTTTCTGGAAGCCTACTTCTCTGTTACCCTTTCCCCAGAACCAGAACACTTGTTACTTTTAGACTGAGTAAATCACCAAGGACAGTGGGGTAAGAAAGTTCCCCCACATGGCTAACACAAACTCCTACTCTGAGTGATATATTTTCCTTTTGGTAACGTAGAACAATAGAATAGAGCCCCAGAAGATCCCTCTTTCACTGTCCTAAAAGGACCCTTACCTACTGTATTCACTCTGCCCAGAAAGTTCACCTCTACACTGTTGAGTAGCCTGAAATGCTTGAAGCTGAAGGATTCTGAAAAGGAGCCCCAGTTCTAAGTTGCAAACACCTAGAAGTCCTAGTGACTTACTGTGTGACTAACTTAGTTTTGATTTAAGGCAAACCTCTTATAAGGCAAACCTCACAGGGGAAACACGAAGGAAGAATGCTCTGCCTGAGCCATTTACTTTGACATCAAATCATTTTAAATAAGGATCAAAAATTTGATCTGGAGACTGGAGGTATAGCTCAGTGGTAGAGTGCATTCTCGGCATCTGCAAAGCCATAGATTCAATCCCCAGCACTGAGAAAAGTTTGATCTGTCCTAAAACGGCAAACGCAGAGCCTGATTAGTCAGCCAATATAGTAGAAAAGATCTCAAAGCCATCTTTGTAAGGTAGTATTTCAACAGAAATCGAGACAAATTTAACAAAAGCAGTATGTACATTCTGATGCAAAGAATGCAAAAGAACTGAGAAATGGAATGGAAAAGGAATAATTCATGAACTTTTGAAGTATCTACAGAAGTAATAAACATATGAGACATAATCTGTAAACTAAGCAACGGGTTTACATATTGCTTCCATAGTAAGAAAGCCAATCCTAAAAAGAATCTCAAGTTGGGCCCTTGTGACTCTGCCTGTAATTCTAGTTACTTAGGAGGTTAAGATCCAGAGGATTACAGTTCAAGGCCAGCCTGGGCAAATAGTTTTCGAGACCCCCATCTTCAAAACAGCCAGAGCAAAACGGACTGGAAGTGTGGCTCAAGTGGTAGAGAGCCTGATTTGCAGGTGTGAAGCCCTGAGTTCGACCCAAAAAAAAAAAAAAAGTATCTCAAACTAATCAGGTGCAAAGTGATAACAACTAAAGGTCAAAACAAAGTGCCAAGATTAAAGTATTTACAATTGTTAAATTGTTCCAACTGTACTGTAGACTAGTTAGAAATAAATTTCTTAATTTTGTGAACCTTAAAAGAATTCTCAGCCAAGGCTGAACCCAGAGGCAGTGATGAAGATTTAGAAAAGCTTTATCCCAGAAGCACTGAGATGAGGCAGAACATATTCTTTTTCATGTCAGAATACAACTGTCTAAAACAGCTGAGAACTGCAAACTTAAGCATGCAAAATGAAGAGACTATAGAGTGAGAATTCCTCTATAGAGCAGTCTTTTTTTTTTTCTTCTGTCTTCTCTGCACTGGCACAGTGCTCCACAGATGTTAGTAGGAAGAAAGGATGGAGACAGGTGATTGGTCATTCAAGCAGTATTCATGTAAAGCAGAAAAAGCTCTTCAGAGCTAATATTTGCTCCTCCAGTGAACTTGTTTAAAATCAGATGACCAGACCTCTAGAGGCTACTGCATCAGACTGTCTGGAGACAGGATCCTAGGCACTTGTATTTTAAGCTTCATGACATTTAACAGTTTAGGAGTCCTTGAACTCTCATGCACCATCTCTCTGAACTAAGTATGGGAAACTATAAAACATTCTGTAGGCTCTGGTTAGCTTGAAAGCTCCAGTAATACAGATAATAGGTGACTGACAGATCTGATTTCAGAGGATAAACTAGATTATCCTCCAATATAGGTGAGAACAGGATCAGGATCAGGGGTACTGAAGTTATCAACTCCTAGAGCACAAAGAATGACACATGAGAATAGCAAACTTAATGCTATTGGAACATGAAGAAAAGATCCAGAAGTGATGCAGAACATAAATAACTCACAGCATTTTAAACACCCAATTCCAGAGAACTGGGAAACTAGGGAATTTTTGATCATAAATTCTTCTATATTTAGGACTTTTGCAAGAAGGAGCGATATGAAGATCAGGCAAAAATAATTCAACAGAACTTGGTCTATGCTGAGAATATGAGGAAGTAACATTAGACTTACTTAAAGGGAAACTGAGAAGTTGAAATTATACTCATATTCATTGTAAATCTCTTGGCTTATAACACAGTGGTACTTTCCACATCTTGAGTTTGAGGAAGACAGAAGTTCCCATTACCAGTGTCATGAAAGAACTGATCTGAGAATCTTACCTGCCTTTGTTGACACTGCCACAGAACCACATGGACTAGGTTTCATGTTCAATTGTGGAAAAACCGTTTTAGTCATTTCTATGGTTTGGATATGGTTTGAGTGTTTCCTAGGCTTCATATTTTGAAATTTAATACCCATCATGAGGATGGAAACTTAATCTGACTGTGGTGGTTAGAGGTGGAGTCTTTGAGAATTAGTTAGGATAGGTCATTAGGGTAGAAGTCCCTTGATAGACATCTGGTGACTATAAGAAGAAGGAAAAAGAACAAAAGAGACACACACATGTGCCCCCGTCTCTTGTCATGTAACACCTTGCCCCACTTCAGGACTCTGCTAGTAAGAGGTTCCCCTCTTCCTCAGAAGTGGTTCCTTGACCTTGGGTGTCTAGTACTGTGAGAGGAAATAAACCTCTTTTTATAACAAAGTAACCTGTCTCAGGTATTCCATTAAAGTAATGAAAAGAATAATAGAATCACCTTTTTCGCTTTCATATTTTAATTTGGCTCTATCCTATTTCTCACATTTTGGAAAATAAGGGTATGGTTATGAATCCAGTGATTAGGCAATTAAAATGCCAGGAAAGAGTAACAACTAGGTAACATTGAAGATTGGTAGCAATGAATACTCTTGCATTTATAAATATTATAGACCTTTGGCAAATGATTGCACTTGAAAGATAGCCCAGGAAGTATGTGATTTTTTTCTTATATACTTATGATGTAAACATTATCAAGGATACGATTCAGTGAGAGATTAATTATAGTAGCACACAGTTGAGTTCCTCTACATCATCCTAGTAGCTTTCTCAAAATAAGCTTTACTCTGTGAAATGGAATCCAGATACATAATTGGAAATCTGGGGAGGTGGGAGGCAAGGAGGAAATACTAAAACATATATAGTATTTTGTTTTTATAAAAGTTGTTAAAATGTTGACATTTTAACAGTGTGCATGACCGCAAAGTTGCCGTATAGCTCTGTCAAGAGGAATATCAGAAAAACATACTGTACAATGAATTCTGAAATACCATCAAAACTTGAACTTGATTCGTACAGATGTATTTGTAGACTCAACAACCAATATAAGAAGCCAGAATTTATAAATTAGAGAAGGTAGACACTGTAGTCCAAGTCCAGAAATCAATTCCCTAACAAGATTCTGAAAACTTCTTTATGACAAAAATATAAAATATTTTGACGAGAAAATATGGATTAAATTAAAAAGGTGTATGTGCAAAATATGGAAACTATAGATCCAACTGACCCACAATAAGTGGGCTTAAGAAGAACATAGACAAATATAGCTTCAAGAAACCCAAAGCAGGGCAGGGCTGGCGGAGTGGGTCAAGTGGTAGAACACCTGCTTAGCAAGTGTGAGGCTCTGAGTTTAAACCCCAATATTGTCAAAAAAAAAGAAACCCACAGCAAACCCTGACAGCATAAGTTACAGAGATGAAACCTGATGTTTCTAAAACCATTGAGAAGAACATTAAGTGAGCAGCAAAAAAAAAAAAAAAAAAAGGAGATTTAAAAATAATTTTTTCAAGTGCAAGCATAAGATTAGCCAAAGATCGATGATCAAGGATTATGTACTTGGCATACCATAAGTGCTTAATAACATAACATTTTTTAATAAATGAACTCACTATATTGTAATAACCATACAAATATAACTTAGTGACTCATATCCTGGTTAACTGTAGAGTCATAAAAAATATCATTAGTTAATAGTGAGGTATTCAAAAGCATGAAATTCAGTACAGACACACACACACACACACACACACACACAGCCCAGACTCATGCCTGTAATCCTACCTACTTGAGAACCTTAATGTACAGAAAAAAATCTTGGATTATTTAGGCAAGATGTACTATTAGCAAAAGGAAAATCATCAAAAAAAAGGAAAAGGCACTCAGCAGTTGTAATAGTTGCTACAACCATGGGTGGAAATAAAAAATATTTTTATGTAAGGCAGTGATTGAGAAGCCTATAAATACATAATCTTTGATGGGAAAATATGAAAAAGAAAGGACGTGAAAGAGATCAGTTTTTGTTTCTTAATATTTCTAAAAATTGGTTTTGGTGGTACTGGGGTTTGAACTCAGGGCCTTGTGCTTGCTAGGCAGGTGCTACTCCAGACCTTCCTGCTTTAGCTATTTTTCAAATATGGTCTCACATACATGCCCAGTCTGGATTGGACTGCGAGCCTAGCTAGGATAACAGGCATGTGCCAGCACACCCAGCTATTGGTTTAGATAGGGGTCTCTCAAATTTTTTTTGCCTGAGCTGGCCTCAAATCATGATATTCCTGATCCCCACCTCCCAAGTAATTAGAATTTCACTGTGCCTGGCAAGTGGAAAAAATGTTTTGAGTACGGCAAAATTCACATAGCCTCACTACCAGAATGGAGAATAATAACATTTGTAAAAAATATTTCTACTCACTAATAAAATTGACTTAAAATATTTATCTCTTTTGAAATTCTAGAAAAGAGATTAACCCACAGATGGGGGGGAATGCATGTGCAAAGTACCTAAAAATGATAATCAGATACATGCAGAATGAAGTACCTGATTATCTAATATTTGGGAGGGATTTGGTTAATTAACCTGAGGTTTTTAGAGTTATCTATATTGCTAAATTCTGTCTTGTCTTGTTTACTTTGCTGATGTGATGCCTTAATAAGATATCAAGTAAAAACACTAAAGGGGTTATTATAATTATGCCAAACATCAAGAAGTTGATATGAGCAGAACAATTAACCCAGTAATTGGCTCACTTATATAGAAGGGCAACTTATGCTATGGTTTCCTACTGACTTCTCTTTAGGTTGGACAAAGACAGATGAAGACCTACTTCTTCCTACTCTGTGCAAACCCCAGTTTCCTCAATTGAAAAGAAAGGTTTAGGGATCTGTATTAGGGAGCAGTACCTTCATGATGAAGAAGAGAAAGATGATGATGACAACGTTGACCTGTGGGTGAATCCACACAGCTGATTGGCCCAGGCTTGTGGGGTCACCTACATGTTTTACCCATGTATTGTTGTCAAATAGGGTACTGATGGCTTCTCGGGGCATCAGCTGTGAGGGGAAGAAGCAGAACAGACAAGTTCTCCAGGGATATACTCTATTTCCTTTCTTAGGGAATCATTTCCAGACTCATTATTTAATGATTCCTTTTGCCCTTTTCTCAGGGAGAGAGCCTTCCTGAGACAAAACTACAGAAGCTCCAAGCCAGCACAGTCTCCTCCCTTCCTGGCTTAGGGGCCTAGTCACTGTTATAATCTGACCCCTCCTTCCCAGACTCCCCTAATTGCTGACCTCTCCAGCCATGAATTGACCCATTCCTGGTGGAAAGGTGAATGAGGCAATGACAAAGGTAACAATTCCAGGATACAGCAGGCGGCTGAAAAATAAACAAGAGTTAACCCTCCCTCCAATTTAGCCAACCCCAGTGAATACTACACCAAACACTGGCAAGCTGTGGGTTCCTGTAGTCCACTATAGTCTTAGTTAATTTAACAAAGAGAGTTCTCTTAACAAAAGAATAATCTTTATAGGGGAGCCCACATGCTTGACCCCCACCTACAGTAACAGAGTCTCCTACTGTTTTAACACATGCCACCTAAAGGCATTAATGCCTTTCACAAAGATAAAAAGGGAGGAACTCTTAGAGAAACCAGAATGTAAGTGGGTAGGGCAAGGGAAGGGCAGTGACTCACTGCTTAGCAAGAAACTGGCTGAGGGCCTTGTACTTCCGGACACCAAGCATGACTTGGCGATGCAGATACACAAACACAGCTCCTAGGAATCCACAGCAAATCCTGAGGGTTTAAGATATAGGGCTGGAACCTTAAGGACTTAATGTCCTCATCCCTCCCACACAGCCACTGCAGGTAAACACCAGCCTTCCACCTTCCCTTTCTACCCAGCTTCCTCACAGTTTATAGCTTCACCCATGCCCAGTCCATCTTCCTCCCACCTTGGGCCCCTTTCAGTCACAGCCTCACCCCACTCCCTGCTTGTCACACCAGAGCAAGTGGCTCCACTGACCCAATGACAGCAAAGGCTGGGAGCTCCTTCAGGTCAAAGGGGAAATCCATTCGGAAATTGGTTCTAAACAGAGCAGTGATGGTGACTATAGGATGAAAAGGCAAAAATTGTGGTGGGAGCGTCCCAGAAAGCCGCAGATAGGAAACAGAAGTTGTCAGTTTTAAGGATTCCCTTTCTTCCTCCAATCCCAATTTTTCCAATTTCCTTTTTCTATGCACTATCCCTCCATGGTTGTACTCTCTACCACATGACCTAGATCCTGTGCTAAACCCTTGGGTTTTAGTTGCACTTCCCAAATACCGACCCCCGCCAACACTCCTTTTCTGAAGCTCCCCAGTTTCCCTCCCTGCCCTTCATTAGCATGCCTATTTCACACCAGCTCCACCCAGAGCCTCCCATTACCAGCATCCTTGTTCCACACAGCCAGCACGCGGAATACAAAGGCACTGAATGTGGCTGCAAAGAATCCTCTCCAGTAGTTCCGAACAGCAAAGTAGGTAGAGGTGACCTCGATGCTAAACAACACTCCTATGGGGGCAGGGAAATAGGGTCAGGTGCAGACATTCCCACACTCCCCACCACTGGGACCTGAGGTGGTTTGGCTGAAACTTCAATCTGGGGGAAGCAGTAGTGGAAAGGCATGACTTGATGGTCCTCATACCTGAAAATGCTGGGTTTTTTTGTTATTGTTTTTTTCTTCCAGACCAGGAATGTGGGTCAGTGACATATAGAGATGATGGGCAAAACATGGGCCCTCAATCCCAAAACATGAAGCTCAAGAGATTGTGCCCACTCTACCCTTAGAATGTAGGATTGAGTGGAGTTCACACTGTGATAGCCACAGAGATTTAAAGGCAATTGAAATTTTTCTGTAGAAAAGTTAAAAGCTTACAGGGCAGATACTCAACAGAGTTGGCATGCAGAGCTCAAAATTTGCTGTCTCCTTGACACCACCCTCAACCTCCCTATCTCCCACCATACCCTGGGGCAACTGTGTGAGAAATAAGAAAAATATGAAGGGCCTTTGTATGAGCTGACAGTACTCAAAATTCCAAGAAAAGAAAGCAGAGAAGTCACCCAAATTACAAAAACTAATTACAGAAAATTTGACCTACAGGAGACAAAGCAAGGCCAGAAAAAATAGTCATGCTTGAGAAATGTGGGGTAAAAGGAGAGTCAATTCATAGTTTTGTTTCCGAGAGGAGATGCTGGAGCAGAAAGTGAGGAGGAGGATGTATAGAGCAAAAACAAGGGGTGACAGGGACAAAGTAAGGAACACTACTGAGGTCATAAAAGCCAGAATTCAAAAGATTTGAAGAAAAAAATCATCTAACATATTAGGAATAAGGGGATTATACATTATGATGCAAAGTAAAAATTAATAACATAATTACCAAAAGCCTGGTTAAAACTCATCTTTATCAAACATGAGGAAGGAAAATCAGGGAAATGCAGCACATACTGAGATGAACAGAGGTGAGAAAAAAGAAAAAAAAGGTGAACAGGGCAAGACTTTTCCTCCTTTCTCTCCATGATGAACAGCTGTTGGTCTGTCCAGAACCAGCCACCTACCTCCCCTTTCAGGCAGCATCTTGCATACTAGGAATTTTCTTCTCCCTGTCCTGTATTCAAAAGTCATCTCTCTCAAATTCCTCACGACCTCTACCTTCTCTTCTATAGGGACAGCCAACTAGTTGCACTGAGTCATGTATGCCAAGGGGATGGTGGCCTGATGGCTGCTCCCTCATGGAGCTGTATTTTAACAGTGTATTTCTAGTGATCAGCCCCAAAGTTACCTTCTCTGACAATCCATCCCCAACTTTCCTCTTCAGGTAGAAACTGTCCATCCCTCATCTTAGTCACTCAGAATTTTGCATTACTGGAGCACTTGTCACTTTCGAATCTACTTACTTGTTCAGACTTCTGGATTCCCCTTAGGATTGGAAATTCCTCGGAAACCAATACCTAGCTCAGTGACTGAGCAGGGGCTCAATGCCTAGTCTAGGAATGGTCAGTAGAGGAGAGGAGAGGATAAGGAAGAAAGAGAACAGAACAAGGGGAATTTCAGAAAATGGAGCCGGTTAACAGGTAACCTGGGACAGAACTTTGCCAGCCATCCCTCCTGCCCTGCTCTTCAAATCCCATCAGGAAAGACAGTTCTTTCATGGCCTAACAGGAGGATTCAACACAGGTGAAGCAGGTAGGTCTCTCTCTCCTTTTATTTGCCAATAGCAGAATTAGGCAGCTTTGATTTGCCTGGGTGAAACTATCCCACTTATGAATATTTTACAATTTTTGAAATCCTGAGCTAGGTTTTCTTTCCCAGAATGTAGGTCTGGACACTTTCCCTCACAGTCTGCCACTGTATGATCAAGAATGAGAGCTAATTTTAATATCAGCCTAAGCCAAACATAAAACGTGCTGCTAAAAGGAAACAAAACTTTTAAAAACACAAACAGCCTGTGGAAACGCGCATATCTTAGGTCTGGAACATTGCTCTCTTCTCCCACTCCAGATGCTGTATATTTTCTTTGACAGCTCCTGTGCATTTGTCCAGCCCAGGGCATTGTCCTTGGTCTCCCACTCTTGCTATTCACAGACACACTTTCTCTATTAATTTCAATTATGCCCGTGGTGTCAGTTCTGCCTACGTGTTAAAGATTAGCAAACCTATGTTTTTGGCTCAATTCCCGGATTTCAGACTCCTCAGTCCAGCTGCTCTCTTGATATCACTTGGCTATACCACAGGGACTTTAAACTCAACTTACTCAAAGTGAAATTTATCAACTCTCCCCAAACCCTTTTACTTCCTGTATGCATCACTGTGGTTACTAACAACACTATCTGCCCAACTGCCTTTTGGAAACTTGGGTGTTAGCCCAGATTCCTCCTCTCTCTTATCCCCTTATAACCTCACATAAAATCAACTGTCAGGTGGCATCCATATACAGTGTACTATGCACATTTATTGGCTTCTTCTCTATCTCTTCTGCCTCTGGCCAGTTCAGTCTCTCATCATTAGGACTATGACAATTGTCTTCTTGCTAATCTTAGATTATTCCTGTTAGTCCACAGGCCATTTCTACCCTGCCCACGTGTCAAAGGGATTGGATGATCATGCAAAGCTGGTCCTGTCACTTCCTTATTCAAAATCTTTCTGTGGTTTCACTTCACCACGATAGCATTTCCCAAAGTCAAGTCCGTGAGACATTACAAGTCCCATGAGACAACCCCTGCAAAATAGGGTTCAGTGGAAATACTGTTTACAGCCACCTTTTGGGTATTCACAATGCATGTCAGCACATCCTTTCCAGTTTTTAATTATCTTAACTATCTGTTTAACCAAGCATTTTCTAGCCGATTTGACCTTAGATCCATTTTTGCATGTTACATCTATTAACACCATGAAGAACCGTACTCTCTAAAACATATTTGGGCCAATCTTAGCCAACAGAGAAAAATCTATATTCTTGTGCACGGCCTATGAAGACCCCATTTACCTGTCCAGACTTGGCTCCTATTTTCCCTCCCCATTATTTCCATAGTAATACTCACTTATGTAATGACAATTCCTCAGATATTGACTTTTGGTGTCCAGAACACCCTGCTTTACTGTCTTCCTTGGAAACTAACTCCTACTTATTAATATGCCTCAGGCCAAACACTATCTCTTTTGTAAAGCCTCACAGTCTCCCCAGGTAGCCTAGAAGGCTCCCAATGTACTTTTCCTGAGAGGCTATTGGGACATAAGTATTCCAGTTGGTCACTGGTTGAGCTAATCTGTGTACCTGTCTTCTCTTTCAACCACGAGCATCCTGACAGCACAGGATCAAGCATCCTGGCATGTAATGTAAGCAAAAAGACATTGCCATTTCAGTAGAATGTTGAATTATATTTATTTCATCAGTGTAAGAAATTAGGACTTGCCTTTATTATGAATAAATCATCTTAATACTAATTTTTCTTTCAGACTTATTATCTATTCATAGAAAATCAAATAATGCCACCTTGCAGACACATTTATCATGTGCTGTTTAATATAAACAGACTGAATATGGCACCTTAATTTCCAAGTCATTACAATTTCTTGTGTCTAGAGTAATGTTTTAACTTAAGACCATGAAGAACCTTCCTCATTCATTTGGAAATTTTAGCTTTGGTAAGAAAATACAGATTCTCCTCACTTTAGGAGAATCTGAATAATAAAAACAAATTCTTCCTGTCTAAAAAGTTCCTTAGACCTGTATTTGGAAGGCTAAAGGGTAAATAAAGGTGGAATTGGGTAAAAATATAAGTGTGAGTGTTTAATATGTGTAGAAATTCAAACACACTGCAGGGACTAATGACTTTAATGACTAGAGCTGACAAAAGAAGTGCAAACAGGATGCTAGCAGATATGTTTGCTTGTTGGATCTCCTTATGCTACATGCTTTGTTTGGCACAGTGTTAGCACAAAGCAGTGTGATACATTTTCATTAACTTTGAACTGTGACCCATACATCATTCCTGATCCAGGCCATTTTACCTACCTAGAGGACTCCACTGTGAGAAGACTAATTCCTTTTCACAACTGAAAAGAAATCTCTAATCGTTGGTCATTTAAAAATCATATTCCCTTGCTGCAATTGTATCTCTTCAGTCACCAACTTAGTATCCTTTTTATCACCAATGAATCCAGAGAATGATCATACAATCCCTTCCCTGTTAATCTAGCTATTACTGATTTTGCTGAATAATCAGATACATCTACACCTGTCTTTTCTTTCTTTCCTCTCCTTCCTTCTTTGTTCTTCCCTCCCTCCCTTTCTTTCTTCCTTCCTTTCTTTCATTCCTGTGATGCTGGGATTTTAACTCAGGGCCTTACACTTGCTAGGCAGGTGTTCTTCCACTTGAGCCATGCTCCCAGCCCTGCAACTGCCTTTTCTTACCATATCCATTTGTTAGTCATCCATGATAAGAAAAATAATCTGAAAAAATGCGGATAGAAAGAGCTAAAATCAACTGAAAATTGCTGTTCAGGAGCAATATTCTTTTAAAACTCCCATAAGGACTCCTCAATTAAAGCTTACCATTAATCTAAATAATGTCCACCTAAACTTCCAGGCCCTTAAGTTTTTCCTTGCGGAAAGACATACAATCTCCTGTTACAAGACATAACACTTGCAGAGCAAAAGTATCCAATAATCCAAGTAGGTTTTAATAAGTACAAGAACCATGAAGACTACCTTGGTTCTAACCCCTGGCTCTGACCTTGTGAGAAGAACAGTAATTGGTCTTCTCTGTAATCCAGTTCTCTCCTCTATCGCACCTCTCACACACAGCTTTGGGCAGGAATCAGCATGGAGTGCTTACGACATGGCCAGGCACATAGTAAAAGTTAGTTGTTTTTGTTGTAAGAAAATGGTTAATTCTAGCTCTTAGTGAGACTGACAAAAACCATTGGGCAAGTAAGGCCAGGCAAGTGGATTGTGTGGGGGCACTTGCCTCCAAGTGGTGTTCCAAAACAGCAGCCGACCCCTACAGCACAGCCCACCGTCAGGATGTCAGTGTAATAGTATGGCTGCTACTAGGAAGAGACAGACAGAGACACAGGTGGGAGGAGAAGGGCAGGGGGCAGAGAGAGGGGAGAACAAGCAGGGATGGGGAATAAGGCAGAGTGAGAGGCCTAACTCACAGGGAATCACTGTAGTCCCCTTGCCCCATCACCTCAAGGCCAGGAGAAACTCAGTGAGTTTGGCAAACAGGAAGTGACCTCATAGCTCAAGGCCAACAATAGAAAACAAAATAAAGTTAAATAATTAAGTGCTGGGCAGGACAAGTAAAATAATGACCAGAGAGGAGCTAGAGATAGGAGTATTCATGGTGAGAGGTGGCAACAACAAAAGAGGCAGGCAAGGAAAATAAAGCCTGTATAAAACAGCAGTTGGTCTCCGAACACACAGCCCTTAGGCAGAAAAATATGGGTCCTTAGAGACCAAGAGCTGGGATCCACGGTCACTCCCTGGACGCCCACCCACTAGTTCCTTTGTAGAGTACAGTCTCCTCTACCCAAAGCTATGGCAGCCACCCAGCCTTCCCTCCAAATCTGGCTTAGGCAACCCAGGTAGGGAGGAAGTGAAACTTGCCTCCAACAGGGGCTGCAAAGCAGCATCCCACGCCCACTGCACAGGCTGGCACCAGGAGGTCAAGCTGCCCAGGCACGGTCTGCAACAGAGAAGCACGCCAGACGAGGGGGTGGCAGGGTGAGACAGATGGGCACGTAAGCGAGAGGCGGATGGGTGTTGGCAACTTCGAAGGGACAGGCAGTGCAGGAGGGAACATGGAGGGGAATTAACGTATAGAAGCCAAGTGGGCTAACAGGGTAACATGGGGACTGGTTTGGCCCTCCTCAGAGGGGCACAGAGCAGGAAGGACTGAGCACTAGAAGAACAGGCACTAGGAGGCATTTTGTGGCTGGAATCAGTGGGCAGGGGCATGGAGAACAGGAACATGGGTTAGTGCAATGCCCCTTCAGCACCATGGCCAGCCCGGAGCAGACAGCCCACCCAGGCTCCCTGTGCACACAGGCCAGCTTTCTTCTGCCAAATGGCTCCTACTGCATTGCTCTGTCTCACCCTTACCTCGTAGACCCCACAGAACATGGACATAAACTTGCTGAGGACAGCTGCACAGATGCTGGCGATGTGGACAAAAGGGCCCTAGAAGATAGCAGGAGAGCCAGGTACAGGGTGAGAGGCCTAGAGGGACACCTTCACAGCTTCATTACATTAGTATTTCCTGCTCCAGGCACTGAGTTAGGTGCTAGAAACATAAAGTCAGACAGGAATTCTGCCCTGAGGAGCTTCATCCCAGAGAGGAAGGGAGATTAAAAGTCAGTGTGTTGTTTTTTCAGACAATGCCAAGGGCTAGGAAGAAAATGAGCGAGAGTGAGGAAAGATAGATGGGATGGCTACCTAGCAGTTATGGCTTAGTGCCTAGAATGACATGTGAGGCACATGGGTGTCAGGAGGAAGACTGTTCCAGGCAGAGGGAAAGGTAAGTGCAGGAGTCCAGGTGAGGACAAGCTTGAAGTGGTTGAGGGACAGGAAGAAAGTGTGAACCATACTTAGGGAAGGGGGCAGGCTGGGAGACTAGAGGATTGGACAGCCCAGAGAGGGCAGATAAGCCCAGGTCTCACAGGCTGTTGTAGGCAGTGCAGATTTTTTGAACAGTACAGATTTTTAAAAAGTGGTTATCAAGTTCTTGACCCGAGGTCAGACATGACCTATTCCATTTTTTAAAAAGATGCATCTGGCTGCTGTGTGGAGTGCTGACAGCAGGGGGCAAAAGTGCACATGAAGATGGAGTTGAAGAAGACCTGAGGTGTCACCTTGAATCAAACACAGCTTCTTTCTAGGTCTCAGTTTTCTCCTATTAACACAGGGGGATTGGTTTGGACTATGGCTAGTGTAGCCATTTCCAGTTAGGGGAGATTTTCAGTATCCGCTCCCCTTCTCTGTCTCAGCCAAGGTTGGAGTCATTCTGGTTGTCACAGCTGGGGGCTGCTAATGACATCTAGGGCTAGAGGGCAGAGATGCTGCTAACATCACAGAGATCTCACTGTGTACAAGACATCACTCCCCCAACACAGAATATTCCAGCCCTAAGTGTCAACTTGCTCAGGTGAGAGACTCTGTTCTAGGTTCCCCCATACCTAACATTTCTGTCATTCAACCTCAGGATGAAGATCTTCCAAGTTTTCTCCCTCCTTATTACCCCTTGGCCCTGGCTTAGTGCCATCCCCTATAGTCCATTTTGCTTCCAAAGCGACCTGTACATTTGGGCCGGTCTCCCTCCCTCTCCCTCTCTCTCGCGCGCGCGCTCGCCCCCTTCCTTCTCCCTCTTCCAGTGCCTCAGCAGTCCAGACCCACCTCTTTCCCCACAGGGATGCCACTGCCCAGCCCAGCAGTCAGGGCCACGACCTTGGCCACAAAAGCTCTAAGAGTGAGATATTCCTTCAGGACAACCCCACGAAGGATTGTCTTCATTTCAGGGATTCCAGAGCCTAAAGGGGTTAAAAAAGGATTTTGTGCAGGTTCACGGTAGAGACTAATGGGACATGAAAGTGGAAATGGGATTGGGGAGGACCACAGTGAGGCCGGAGTACTTTAGGTGGGCTAGAGGATGGGAGGAAGTCAGAATGGAATGGTAACCAGATTGTGTGGCATCTCCTAGAAAGTTCTCACCAACAGCCTGGGGAGAGATGAGGTGGCAGAAGAGGGCGCTGAAGAGGATGAGGACAAGTGGGAAGGTAACCCAGGCCAGGTATTGTAGAGGAAGGCTGGGCTGCATCTGGGCGTAGGTCCACTTGTAGGCTGTAGGGATACACACCTGGGTCAGTTAAGGTGGTGGAGGGGCTGGCGTAATGGCAATCTCACTACCACCCCCAAGACCACAGTGCCAGACAGCATGCTTGCCATACTCTCAAGCCCTGGGCATCTTGTTTGTCCTCCTCAGGCTGACTACTTTCATTGTACATGTGGGAAACCTCAGCTATAGGAGAAGAGCCGGGTAAGTTCCCTCTAGCAGAGGTAGCTGATGGCTGTGCTACAAGTCACAATGAATATGAGGTTAGAGCACCTGGTTAGAAGCCACGGGATGATCACTCACCAGGCTTTCCCAAGCCCAAGCTTGCCCAGGGGGTTCCTTGAACTTAGAAGTTTCAGTGCTGAAACTGGGAAGATCTTTGGGAAACTGGAGTAAGTGGGTCACCCCACTAGAGGGGCACCCCACATATGGGTTGGCAGCAGGTGGAAAAGACATGAGCAGTGTATCTAGGTCTCACGTCTCAATGAGTTTGGTATTATTTAGGGCCAGAATCCTACCTAACCCCTCTGTGAAGCATCCTCTGCCCAAACATACCCAGCCCAACATAGGTGGAAACTCAAGAAACAGCCTCCATGTGGGGAAGGCTGAGAGCAGCAGTCCAGGGAGGACCTACCCTGAAGACTCTTGGCACTGACATAGTCCATACACCAGCTGACCAGAGCCATCAGCAGGCCCAAGAGCACCAGAAAGATCCAGTCTTCCCCCAACTTCCTTCTCACCACTCGTTCCAGGCGGTGGAGACAATCTAGGAAGAGGGAAGGGTGAACAAAAAGAAAAGCAGCTCACCAGTCACTACTTTGGGAGCATGGCTGATGAGTGGAGGGGAAGAATTTGGCCGGTAGGGTCTTGTCTGTGTTAGTCAAGGGTCTTTAACACCTCTACCAATTGCGGCCTGTCCTTTAGAAGCACAAAACCCTACTTCTCCATGAGATGTGAATTCCCTTCTAAAACTCGGGGAGGGTACGGCAGGAAACAAACTATGTGTGGAGGTACAGGGGAAGTGCTCTTGTGTGTGTAGGGGCGCTGTATTTGCAATGAGGTATCCAAGTTATTCTCCTGATCCCTGTACCTCCTTCTATTCCAGATTCCTTTATTCCTCAGTCCCCATCACCTTGACATTTAGAATAGTGTTCCTCATCCTTGCTGTCCAAGGTAGAACTGGAGCCCATCTTCTTGGGCATCCCTGTGTTCTGCTCCTTATCTGAGTATTGCTCTTTGCGATGGCCATAAATCTGGATGGAAGGAAAATGATCACTGTCTTTTGTTTTCATTTTTTCTCACTTTTATTAGCATATATTTGTTGTACAAAGGGGTTGCATTATGATGTTTCCATATATGTAGACAATGTACCCATCCCTTCCAGTATCCCCCTTATCCTTCCTTCCCACTTATTGGAACAAATTCAATAGGTTTCATTGTTCTATTTTCATACACATGTATAGGATACTTTGAATGGTCACAATCTTGAAGAGTTAAAAGCAATAAAGAGGGCAGCATGCAGACTCAGAGAAAAGGAGGAAGTGGTATTTTGAATCCTAGGCATGAGTGCTGCATACAAGCTACTTTGTGGTTATCCCTGCTCTCACCTCTCCACTCTCCATTCACACATTTCCCACTCTCTTCATTTCACCATCCATCCCCACTTTCTTTCCATTCATTCCTCAATGCAGATTGACCTTGGCACATGGTAGCTTTTGTTACGGAGACTAATATCTACTTAGAAGTAGAGATACAGAGAACTGTGCTGAGACTGGGTAGCCTGACCACATAGGTGTTTTATGCATCAATACATTTTCTGTATGTCTCTACATTTTCCTCAGCCCCCACTGCAATGATGTTCCTCCTCAGGATCCTAACATGCACAGGTTGAGGACAGACTGCCCTAGCCACCAGATGACTTTTATTTTTAATTGACACATAAAATTTTTACATCTTCATAGGGACTGATGTATCATGTATCTAGGTAGCACTTTGCCTTGGTGTTATCTGTCTTTCTTGAGGCCCTCAGGGTCTTCTACCTAGACTGAATAAAACTCATTCATCTGATCTCCCAAGATTTGTAGGTATAAACAGGAACTGAACTTGATCAGGCAAGTCAATCTTTTTCCCAAAGCAAGGTAACCACGCCCCCACCAACATGCAGAGGGTGGGCCTTGTTCCTGCCACATCTTGTGGTGTATGCAAGAGCACTAACTGCTTTGGGTCTGTCCCATCCACTACAGTAGTCCTCTGGGGCCAGGGTCAGGCCAGGCCATATTGCTGATTCTGGGAGCCTGGGTAGAAGAGATCTGAATTCACAATATGAGGAGCAGAGTTTTATGCCTCAATCCTGAGCAGACACAAACTAATTGCCCTGCTCATGGATGATTCATTTACTGGGATGAGGTGAGTGACTTAGAGAGGAGTGGTTCCTTCCCAACCACTCCTCATGGAAGTCAGACAGCTGGGACTGCCTCAGCTTCTTGAGGTCCCAGGTTGGAAGAGATAAGGAAAGAGTATACTTCCTACCAAGACCTGGGGCTGGAGAACACCACAAGAGCGAGATGCATCTTGCTCGTCCATCACTAATCACTATACCATGTTAGGGTTAGGAGAGGTGATAGGTTCAAATCAAAATCCAAGCATATAAAGGAAGAAAAGTCCTCCAGTGTGTGTGTGTGTGTGTGTGTGTGTGTGTGTGTGTGTGTTGCAATGGGAAGGATAGACGAAACAATCTTGAAAAAATACTGATTGTCATGTAGTTGGGGGTTCATTACATCATTCTCTGTTTTTGTGTAAGCCTGGAATTTTCCACAGTAAAAATTAAATGAGGAAAAACTTACATCTAATCTCCTTCCTCGCTTTCAAGGCCCCATTGACATCAGCTGAACCCTCCCCAAACTAACTTGCCATTATTCCTTACATGAAACATTAGGCTCTTTTATCCAGTGTTGCCACCAGAAAGTGACCTAACTGTGCTCTTGCTCAAGTTGCTGTCTCTCCAACTATCCTTGGGAAGTGGTGAGGAATGGAGAATGGATCCTGTTGACCCCAATGATAAGATCATCTGCACTACCCACCCTTCAGGTTCCCACCCCAACATCTGCAAGGAACCACAGGCTCCCTGTCAGCAAAAATCCTTCTAAAGTCTGATCTCCTGTGCCTTGACCACCTTCCATCCTCTGTTGCATTCTGTAACATTCTTTGTACTGAGAGGCACACTTACTAATTGTGGCCTATAAATTTTCCAAAGCAATTTCACAACCTCTCCTTTCCTTGCACCCATCCCTACTTCTCATCTCCTAGATGTTGGTAATCTACTGTTACCCAGCTCTGGAGGACACTTATCCCTGGACACATCTTAGCACCTTTCCACAAAGCTTGTGTGTGTGCACTGGGGAATGACCCCAGGGCCTCATGCTTCACTCATGCAAGGCAAGCACTCTACTACTAAGCTACTCTTTTAAGCCCCTAAAAGCTTGATTACATTTCTCTGCTCATTTTGATACTGGTAAGTCTTTGATTACTGATAAACCATTCAATCTGTTTTCTCCACTTGTCCCAACTCCTTTTTTTTGTGTCTTCTGCAGAAGGGTTACTTTGTGTGTGTTCTGCAGGGCAAGGGTGGCAGAAGTCTCTGCATGTGGGTGAGAGTGTGAGAGATACAGCACTCAGAGCTCCTAAGAGAATCACTCCATATAGGTTATGTAAACATGAGCTCTCTGTGCACTTGTGGCTCAGATGGTTCCCCACAGGATTCACCTATTCTGCAGTAAAAGCTATGCAAAAGCACATGTGTATCTAAGTGCATATTCAAGCGAATCCAGACTTTTGAAAGATTTTCATATTTTGAACACATTACCACGTACTTTAAGAAATGAACACTGCTCTCTCTTCACTAATTCCTAATTAACCAATTCCCCAGTCCCACTGTCTCCCTATCATCACTCCCCTCTCCCCAGGACTTTACCTGTGTGGGGTGGGCATTGTGCCGGGGACCTGCGTCCTTTCGGAGACGATGCTGAAGGCCCCCATTCTCTGAGGGCAGTCCATAGCTGGTACAGTGTTCAAAAGGCATGTACTGGTACTGGGGAGCACTGCCCCACCAGCTTTGTTCAACTCCATGCTGCTGGGACTGGGATCGCTCCATGCAGCTCCCCACAGCCCCAGCCAGGCCTTGGCCTGCTTGCCCCTGTTCTACCCCCAGTGCAGTTCCTTAAGCCTTTGCTCTCGCCTGTCCCCAAGGCGTCTGGGGCAGCATGCCCACCTCCAGCTATTTATAGCTGCCTCTCCACCACATGACCCTCCCCCCTCCCACTGCCAAATCTGATCCGCTTGGGGTCGAAGCAGGTGTGAGTGCAGTGCAGGGTGGGGGTTGGGAGGAAAACCTGGGGGACAGCCCCACAGGGAATTCCCTGTGAGAGCCAGCAGCACTGTCCCTTCCCTAGTCACTAGTAGGCTTCTAGCCCCAGGTCACTGGTCCCTCTATAAATACTGCCCAGACTAGGATAGGAAACTGCTTAGCATTCTCTGCAGGCTTGGGCATAATCCTCCCCACCACCACCAAGGTTGCCCCTCTGCTTGAGCATGTGGAAGGTGAGGGATGCAGTGGTGCTGCATTAAGTCACTCAAAGGTCTAGGAAAACTGGACAGATAACTCACCTGGGAGAGCAACTGGCGACTCTCTGCCATTTCTCCCTGTTGTCTTGTCCTCAGCTGGGTTTAGTCCTCACCTGGATCCTGAACTACCTGGCCAGCTCTCCCCACATCCAGTTTTCTCTTCCCACTCTGTGCCCTTGTATCTGCCAGAGACTAATAACACTTTGGTGTCATCCCCTTGATGCCACCCTTATCACCTCTGGGTGTGGAATGTGTGGGAAGCAAGATTAACAGCCTTGGGTTCCGGAATCTCTCCCATTTCCCAGACTCACATATATTGGTCATATTACCAACCCTGACCTACCAGGAGGGACTGAGTTCCATTTAGACTGTGGTGCCCATGACAGCTCTATCAAGGTAGGTTAGATAACAGTAGAGAAGGGGAAGTGGGCCAGAGGTATAGGGAAGATGGTGATGGGGAGAGAGCATTTTACATGATGAGTCCAACAAACAAAAGATGATGGGGAAGTAACCTATTCTTCCCTTTTCTGCTCAATAAATTAATTTCTGCTCAAGGGCAAACTACTCCATTTGGCGTTATGTTTTTTTCACCAATTTTCCTAAGATATCTCTTCCCTATAATCTCATCATTATAGAAGAAAAGCTATAAACTGAGGAAAAGTGAAGTTTAGAATCCATCATCAAGTGGAGTCTCTCCCAGAGTAGTACAAGTTCAGGGACTGCAGGGTAGGGACACCAAATATCTGGTTTAATTTTGACCTAAGCTAAATGGGACTGCCCAAAGCAAGTGAGAAGATGGACACCAGATAGTACAGAAAGCACCTTTTCTAGGAGTATCATAAATCATCAATGAAATTTAAGTCAAAACCACAGTGAGACATCATGTCACACCTGTTAGGATGGCTACTAATTTTTGAACAAAACCGAACTTGGCAAGAGTTGAAAAGGATATAGAAAATAAGGAACTCTTGTGGACTATTGGTGGGAATAGAAATTGGCACAGTCCCTATAGAAAATATTTCTAAAAAAAATTAGAGCTATCATTTGATCCAGCAATCCCACTTCTGGTTATATATCCAGAGGAAAAGCAATCATAGTCTCTAAGAGGTATTGGTACTTTTCTAGTCACTGCAGTAAATATTCATAGTCAAGATATGAAAACAACCTATGTGACTGTCAACAAATAGAAATATAAAGAAAATGTGGTGTATATACATAATGGAATGCTATTCAGCTATTGATGGAAAACCTGTCATTTGTGACATGAATGAATCTAGAGAACATATGCTATGTAAAATAGGCAAGATACACTCAAATGCTCCAACATCTCACTTATATGTGGAATGTAAAATAGTGGAACTTACAGAAACAGAGTAGAAGGGTGGCTGCCATGGGCTAGGCCAGGGGAGTGGGTACTGGGGATACAGATGCTGGTTAAAGGGCACAGAGTTTATGCCCTTTAAAATTAGGGTAAGGATAACTTAAAATTAAAAAAGGATAAATTCTAGAGATCTAATACACACCATTAGGTCATAGCTAACAATTCTGTATCTTACATTTGGAATTTGCTAAGGGGATACATCTTAAGTGTTCTCATCACACAGACGAAGGTAATTATGTGAGGTGTTGGTTATGCTAACTACCTTGACTGTAGTGGTCATTTCACAATATACAGTAGACTCCTGGTAACTGTGTGTATATGGTTCCAAGGAAACTGTTGAGGAAAACCCACGAATTTTCAGGATGCAGAGTTTAAGACTATACCACAGATGTTTAGTTTTCCCCATAATGCTGTCCAGCCGCTGCTTAAGACATGCAGCCTTTCAGCAAATTAAAAATTCCCACTTAGCCACTTAAATTAAGTATATTATGTGCACTTTGTGGCTTGGGAGGATTGCCATAACTTTTGCCTTGCTTTATGAGCACCATTTAGTTTAGGGGAGGCATATTTTCACAAAGTTAAGGGCAGGAAAACTCAGCAGATCACACAATCATTGGAACACAACTGACAATAACGCAGGACTGAGTTTATCCACATCAACTGAGCTGAGAAATGTGTGCATGGACAACTGAAAAATTTTTTTGAAATTTCTTTTGACTTAAAAAAATTACTTTTTGACCATAAATCCTTGAATATGAGCTTACTGTATACATATACCACAGTATCAAGTTGTATATGTTAAATATGTATAATTTCTACTTCCCAATTATTTACTTCCCAATAAAGATGACAAAAAAAAAATCATTCTAGAACAAGTCCTATGAATCTCAAGGCTTGTAAAACACTCACAAAGGTTATGAATGTGGGATGGCTGAGGGACTAAAGGTTCTGTGCAGATCCATGCATTTTCTACAGGAAATGAGGAAAGATCAAGGGATTGCTGTGAAATGAAAGGAATACATTTTTGACAGTACTGGAGTATGAATTCAGGGCCTCATGCTTGCAAGGCAGGCACTCTGCCAGCCCTATTTTGTGTTGGTTATTTTTGAGAGGGTCTCACAATTTGCTGAGGCTGGCTTTGAATCGTTATCTTCCAGATCTCTGCCTCCTCAGTAGCTAGGATTACAGGCATGAGCCACCGGTGCCTAGCTTGAAAGGAATACTTTCTTAATAAGGAAAATAAAAGTACCAAAGAGGTTATATTCTTGATGTCTTTTCACCTGTTTGTGGTGTCTGGCTTTCTGAAGGTAAAGTTTTTGCAGGGAACTTGAACAAACAAACATCAGATGCAATTAACTTCTTTCTTTTTATTCCTGAGCAAGTTGGTTCCCTAACACACAGCAGCTTGGTCATGGACTGAGAGACGTGAAGGCAGAGACCAGTAGGGATACGAAGCCACTCATCCCTGGCCAAACCCAGTGGAAGCATGTAGTATGTAAGAAAAGCACCAGCTGTAATTCTAAGACCCAGATTCTCAAGCTATGAAGACCAAGAACACATACAGAGGCTGCTAGGGTTGGATGGCAAGGATTTGAGAGTAAGTATCTTGTGTTCAAAATTAGGAATAGTTTAAAATCTGCAAGCTATTTTCTTGGAAGGACAAAGTAGATATAAATTGTGCCTACCCCTCACTCCAAACACCCCAATTGGACTTAGAGCTTAGGTTTGGATTCAGAGAGCCAAAGATGGGCTTCTAGGTAGTTCTGTGATGTTCCTAAACTTGGAAGCAAATTCATATGCATGTGTGAATGGGACCTATTATTCTTAAGTTTTAACTAGATTTCTTCCAGGGTCCATAATATTAAAAGGTTAAAACCTATAGGTTATGGAATTGCTATCTGAAGGAAGGTTATACAAAGTCGCCACACAGGATATAAGAATGAAAATCTGTTGTGGGTATAGGTGGTTGTGTAGGACAGTCTTTCAGTATGTTCCCCTTCCCACTGCCCAAATTTAAGCACCAATTTTCTTTCCGGATCACACACTTGTTTTCCAATTTCAACATCTTCAAGTCTGGCTTCTCCAACCTATGAAGCACTAAATACAACCATCATATTCTTGATGTTTTCAGCTCTATTTCTCTTTGCATATCCAGGCAGCATGAAACCCATGTCCACCTCCTCCTGAAATCTCAGCAAAGCAACTCCAACTTCTCTGGACATTTTTCCTGTAACAGACCTCACTGGTGCTCACTTCTCCTCTATTCTTTTTTGGACCTGGTTCTGTCCTGCAAGAACCCTTATTCTGTCCCATGCCTTGCAGATCCCTATAGCACTTCACAGGTCTCTTGCACCTTCTGGCTTTTCAAACATGATATTTTCTAATACATCATCATATTTAAGGTCCCCTATAGGGACCTTTCAAAGTAGAAATAAATTTTCATTATTTTTAGGAAGAGGCAACTGAGGTTGTTAGCTACCTTGGTCAAGATCTCCCAACATCCTTAAAAGTAGAGCTAGCATTAAAATTAGATTTACATAATTCTAGAGTTCATCCCTGGAATACTACATGATTTATTTTGTTTGAAGAAGTTGAAAAAGACTTTGAGCCTTACTTCCCTCTTCTGAAAAATAAAGGAAAATGACTGCCTTGTGGCACTGTGAAGAAGATGGAAGCCACACTTCTATACTCAGTACCTGTAACAGACCAAGTATTGTAGCTATTTGTCTTCCTCTTTAGGACAGTTCCCCCCTACTTCTTAAACCACAGCTTTGATCTGATACTCCACTTGTTTCATTTCTTCCTGCTTTCCTTTCCCCACTTAGGAAAACAGGATGTGGAAGGGCAGCAGAGGGCAGCCCCCAGCTCAGGGAGGGGGATAATTTTAGAAGAGAATCCCCTGGCAGAAACAAGTGGGGGAAGGGAGTAGAGCTGTGAAATTCAACCTGACACCCTATTCAAGGGCGGGTGGAAAGGACATGGACTTCAGCTCAGATACTGGTTTGTAATTCCCAAACAAATCACTTTCAGAAACCTTTCCTATCCTAAAAATGGGTATCTATTCCCACTATTCAGTAACTTAAACTTTCCAAGATTTCTGTGTCCCACACTTTGAAGTTACCTGTTTTTTCCCTGCAATATATAACCAGTTGGTCTCAGTCTATTTTTCATGCCCTTTTGCCCCTAATGTTCTTTCACAATGAATCCCCCTCCTCCTTCTAAATCTGGTGATATGCTTCAGCTCAGCTCAATGCCCTTTTGCTTCTCGTTGACAGCAATTCCTCCTCTATATTCCCCAGCATCTTTCCACAGCTCTTTGCTACCCAAATGCTCTTATAGAATTTTCCTCTTCTTGCTAAACCTCCTTAGCCCACTGTGCTCCTGCACAATTGCCTCTACAGGCATGTACTCCAAATACTTCCAGTCCATTACTTTCCATTCTCTTCTTTTCTGCCCTAGAATTATCTAATATTTTTGTCTACCCTAGAAAATCTTATATTTAATTTGGACTGAGAAATAAAATCCTACTGTCCTTTCTCATCTTCCTATTCTGACCCCACCTGTTACTCTAGCCTTCAAGCCCATAATCTGGTAAACCAGAATCAACACTGTTTGCTTGATCATCCACTTTACCTGACCATGAGACATCCCAGGGCTATGCCACCAAAGAGACAGGTACACACCTGAGCATATAAAAAAAGACAGCGGTTTTAGGTTCTAGGTAGGTCTTTTGAGGTGGGAAGGAACGATGCAATACAAGGAAATGAAGAAATGTGGGCTTCAGAAGACGGAGTACCTGTAGAAACAAACCAGGCACACATCGGTAACAAATATCAACATTTATTTGGCACCTGATGGCAATACAAAATCTTGGCAGTGGGAAGTGGAAAGGTTCTATCACTCAAATATATTCATCCTATACTGACCCAAAGGTAGGACTTGGCAGCAAGTCTTCAAACCACCTACCTGGCTCACAGAACAAACATTAGTTGAGCACCTTGACTACTACAGGCCTAGCATTTTCCTAGGCACAATGGGAGATGTTGATGAAGTTTTTTCACACATGGTATGTCTTTAAGGGGCTAAAAATACCAGTGGATAAAATACAAAACAACTGGAAAACATACAGCATAACTTCCAAACTGCGTATCGTCAAAAGGGAAATTCTTCCAAAAAGTAGGATTCTAGCTGGGCTTAGCCATCTGACTCCTTCATTTGATGAACTTTTACTGAAGACCTGTAAGTGGCAGATACTGGTACATACTGATCAGTAACAAAGCCAGGGTTTGTACCCTTTTAGAGTTTACAGCCTAGTAGGGGAGGTAAAAATGAAGAAGTAAAATAAGAAATACATCGTTAAAAATTGCACTGAGTAAAGCAAAGGATAAATAAGGATATACAGCAATAGAGATACAGAAAAATGCCTGCAGATAGAATGACCTGGAAAGGCCTCCTAAAGACTTGAAGAAGATGACATTCTAAGCAAGAGTGTTGGAATAGTGAGCACAGAACATCTGAAAAACTGAGGGGCTTCTAGGGCTGGAGTACAGGGAGAAATCATCATTGAATGAGGCTCAAGGAGAAAGTAAGAATGAGATCTTATAAATCAGAGTAAGGAGTTTGGGCTTTATATAAGGTTTAATAGGAAGGCAAAGGGTTCCAAGCAGTAGAGTGATACAATCAGATTTATCTTTAAAAATAAAAAACTACTCTGATATGGGGAGAACAGACTGAAGGGGGGCAAGAATGAAAATGTAAAAGATTTAAGGAACAGGAAAGTTTCATAGAAGAAGACAGAAAGAAGGTTTCTAGGTAGAAAGAGTAACATGTTTATGGTAATATACTCACTGAAATAGAAAGAAATAATGTAAGGGGAGAGATGGCCACAAAATCAAAGGAGAGTCTAACATAGAAGCAGAAGGCAGGACAAGGTACATTACACCCTGGAGCAGTCAAAAGATCAACTTGAATATTTTAGACAGACCTGGTGACAGCAGTGAACAGAAAGAAATGAAAATTAAAAGGGAAGAGACAACAACTAGGAAGCTTATCCAGAAGTCCAGATATGAGACACAGTTTGATTGCATGGCAATGCCAACAAGGGAAAGGAAGGGACATCACATAGAAAGGAGAAAGACACAGTGACAGATTAGTGTGAGGAGGCACATAGTTCCTCCTGGCTTTCTGCCAATATACCTACAAGGCTCATTTTAGTAACAGCTCAGGGAAAGAACAACTAAGGAAGATCTTTAAGACTTCCAGGGGCAAGGCATAGACCCTAAGCTCTGCTGAAATGCTGGGAACTTGAAGCCCAAAGGAGCCACTGGTGTAGTTGAGAAGACTGTCTTTTGCCTGGGTCTGCAGTGGAGGCACAGACACTTCTGCCTACCACAGCAGGATGTGTCTGTCACATCTGCCTCTTCAAGCCAGATGAAAATGCCTACACTAAACTGGGACATATTCAAATTCTCACTGTAGGATAAATGGGGTTGGGGATAGGAAAAAAGATAACAGATGATCTGAGACATCTTAACTGATGTAATAAATGCAACAACCAAAGTGCCCTTCTAAAAGCCATGGGGACAGAAATATCACAAACATCAAGCAATCCACATGCCCTCTCCCCATGACAACATGTGTTCACAATGTCACTTGCCAGGTTCTTTGGCAACAACCCTAGCCAGAACCAGCTCTACAGGGAAAGAGCATCACACAGGAGAAGCTGGCCTGGCGTCCCATACACAAAGGTGGAAATGATGGGCACAGGAAGCAAACCTGGGAGATTCCTACATCCCTGAGGAGGCAGAACAGAAACCATGCATCCTGAAGAGAAAAGGCTCTATTGCGCCTTCAGTGATCCAGTGGCCTCCAACAGCATGGACAACAAGGAGGCAGCTTCACGTGGGAGGGTATCCTGGGAACAGGTAGAGGTGACGGCATAGGGTGCTACAGTACTCAGACATCTCCTTGCATCGGTGGAATTCTGTGCCAGGGGCATAACCTTCACGTTCCTTGATAAGGGCATTCACCTGGGAAGGCAGAACCAGTGGTCTGAAGTCTGAGATTGTCTCATGCTCCCATAATAAAGCACAACAGGGATGGTAAACAGACTATGAAAAATAGTGCAAGGGAAGAGGAAGGGAGTATGCTGTGGAAATACAAAGGTTTGTGGAGATAGCCTGAGCTGACTTACCTTAACCAGCATGTCAGCCACGTGCATGTCACAAGCCCTCTCAGAGAACACCTGAGTGAGTGCCTCAATGTACCAAGAACCCCGCTTGGTGTTCCGCATGGCAGCAGTGCCTGCAACCAGAGGTATGGAGGTCACAATGAGACTTTCATGGTACTCTGAATCCTCCCCAGCCAAAAAGCCCAGCATAAAAAATCCAAGTCTAGGAGAGTATAAATCCAAGACTATGAATTAGTCTTTTGGAATTCAGAATACCTTTGAGGCAGGCATAGCCACATATCATGTCCGAACGTGTGGGCAGTCTCATCTTCAGTAACTCCTCTTTACCAGCATCACTTTCCTCACACCCAGGGGATCTTGCATGGTTCTTTCCATCTTGCTGGTCGACCCCACGATCAGTCTCATCTGCAGAAAGGCCAACAGAATGAACAAAGATATTACTTTCTCCCATTTCTCATGGGCCCGTCACAGGCAAGCCCAAGTTCCCTATAATCTTGACCAGGAAGAGCCATTTCCAGTTGTTGCCTCCAATGTATGGCTGATGAATTAAAAAAAAAAAAAGGAAAATCATTACTTTCCCAGCATGCATCCATTACTCAAGGAGTGCCCTTCTGTAGGCTAGGCACCATACTCAAACACATACACATGTATATGGTTGGAGCATATTCCATTCTGCGTTAAGACAGAGAAAGCATCAAATCAAGTACTCCTTGTAAATGGAATTAAAAATTATCTAAGTATGATTCACTTGTTCAGTTAGCAATACACCTGGAAGTCACAGTACTTTTTTTACTACATTATGCAATAAAATATTGATACTCAGTTTCATAACATAAATCCTAAAACAATGAACCAAAAATCTGTTTACTACATGTATGTCATATAAAAATCACAACCTCAAACTACGTTGTCAGTAAAACCCAAAAAACAAACAAAAAACCCAACCAACTACAAAACTAAGCATGACCAGAGATTTCCAAAGTGGTTTTAATTTTTTTTTTTCTTTTGGGGGAGCAATACTGGAGTATGAACTCAGGGCTTATACCTTGAGCCACTCTATCAGTTCATTTTTTGTGATGGGCTTTTTCAAGAACTATTTGCTTAGGCTGGCTTTGAACCACAATTTTCCTGATCTCTCCTGAGTAGCTAGGATTACAGCTGCGTGCCACAGTGCTTGTCGTGGTTTTTAATATTCTAAAAAACATTTTTATTAATTTTGTAAAACAAATTATAACAAACATCCAAAATTTAAGAAAAATTCAAAAGAGGAAGAATTGAAAATTGGGATAATTTATTTTCTCCTACAAAACTGAAAAAGCACACTAAGCTACTATTTTGGGGCTAGGCAAGGATGCTGATGTTGTATAGGAGACAGGGAAGACACATAGGTCAACACACCAAAAATAAGACGGTTCATTTGCAATATTTCCTGCTTAATGAGATATTCAATACTAGAGACTAGCAGAAGGGATGCTTGAAGAACTATAGCATAAAGGACTGAAATTCACTAATTCAATAAAAAATTACTAATGTCCCTGTACCAGGTACAGTCTCATATTAAGACCTAGGGACACAGAAAAAGTCACTGCCCTCATCAAGCTTACACTCTTATGAAATCAGTCCGTTAGGGGAGGAGTGGTTCTTTTTCTTTGTGGAGGGTGTTATTAGGGGTGGGGAGAGGTTGAACTTTGGGTTTCACACCTGGTAGGCAGATGTTGTACCACTTGAGTCACTTTACCAGATCTGTAAAAGCAGGTACTTTTATAGACATTTTATCACCAAAAATGGCAGGAAGACTGCTGGGCTCAAATTTTCATAGGAACAATTAGACTCTGGTCATGCCTTAATGGATTTAATTTTAGTCAATAAATGCTATTGGCTCTTTCTTCACATTATCCACTTATCTACTTTATATGTTATCGTTACAATTTTCTAGACAGGCAAAATTTTACCCATTCATTCAATAACTGTTAAGTGCCATCATGTGTTATGCAGTGCTCTGGGCCTGGGGAAAAGCAGTGAATGAAAAACTGAGCTCATGTCTACCCTCACATGTTCTCGCCTTAGTGCAGCTCCCTGTCATGGTGACTAACCTGGAAAAATTCATCACATTATTTCTTACTTAAGCTTTTAACAGTGCCATGCTACTATCTGCTAAAGTCCAAAATCTCAGCTGTGATTAAGGTTTGTAATTAGCTGGTCAAGTTCCCATGATACATCAAATCTCACTACATGCTTACACAGATTAGATTAAGGGGATATTAATTATATAATGGAGGAACACATCCTTTTAATCTTGGTATGTTTGCCATGCTACATTGTCTCTTTTCCTAAGCACTTTCTTTCCACATCTTTATAAATCATGTATCTTGGGTTCATGGTAAGCCTTACCCTATCCACAAAATCTCTTTAAACTAACCTCACTTAAAATGATTATTACTGCATAATCCTTTATATGTACAGTTCTGTATCACTAACTTCACCCTTGCTTGAGTTTTAAACTACTTCATATATATATTTGCTTTAGTTTCCCACAGGCTCCTTAGAGAGGCCAGATTTTTCTCTTGCTTTTATAGCAGTAGTAGGTAGTATAACAATAAACTTTATGGTGATATGAGATTAGGAAAACAGTATTAGTCATACTTTTATTGTGTGATTGTTTATCTGTCACACAACAAATAAAACAAGTCATTTGAATATTTGGACTAAGTACACTATAACCCAAACTATAAGCCCCTTGAGAACACTGATCATGTTATAATAGAAGCAGCAGGTTTTCTCTATGGATTTACCAAGAGCCAAGTACCTGGCTAAGTAAGCTCTCATGTATAATTCTATTTAAAAATCATGACAACCTTAAGAAGTAGGTACAATGTCCACATTTTACATGAAGGAAACTGAGGTAGAGAGATAAGAGGGATGTGAAGTAACTTCTCTAATTCACATAATTACTAAGTAGCAGAGTCAGGATTTGACTCTAAATTTAGAACCCTTAATTACTACTGTTTTTCTTCAGGATGAGAAGGAACCCTATGTGTCCTCTGAGCCTTGTCACACAGGCTTCGTTCTTAAAGGGGTAGAACACACTGCATGCACAAGAGAAGAGGAACAGAAGCAGCTGAGGAAAGAGTCCAAGGCTGACATGGATTCTGCAATCCTGCACGGTCCACGAATGATAAAGGAAGGAGGCAAGAATGGAAGCATTGATAAACAGAGAGGTACAAGGAGGAAGTGAAAAGGGAGAAGATAGAAGGAAAAAGAGGAAAGAGATAAAGTGAGAGGGACAGGAATAAGAGAGACAGAAAATCATCAACTGGAATGAGTTACAACAAAAGTGTGTCACAGTTATAAGCACAGGAAAGAGTCTGTGTTCTCAGGCGGGGGAAAAAGCAGACACTGACAAGAGAAACCTGAGAACAGGATATGGTGGTGCACAGAGAGCTGACCAGCCTGAGAGCCATGGGCTGCCCAAGTCCCAGCACACCCCATGCATTGGGAGACACTTACAGAGCAAGAGAGGCGGTGGCAGCAGTGAACAGAAGGAGGTGCCCAAGGGATCCAATAGCACCTGAGAGGAGCAAACAGGAAAGTGAGAGCTGGTGGGAGGCTGCCCAGGAGCCACCACCCAGGTGCTGGTCTGCCAGGGCACTCACCTCCACGGCAGGCCTGGATGAAGAACATTTTTGGCTTGTTTTGCAGGCTTGGACAGTTGACATTGTCGAAGAGTCGAAAAATCTCTTGGAGCTGCCAGAGAGAGAGAAGGGAAAACAGAGGTTAGGCAACTACCAAGGTCTACTGAAGTCCTATACAAACAACAGCAGCCACCATCAGAAAGAGTGGCGTGTGGGGGGGGGGGATGGAGGTAAAGCGGCTTAGTTTCACAGTCAGCTTTTACAAGATTATCCCCACCTGAAGCAGTTTGCCATCCACACCATAGATGCCGCCCTCCACACCATGTGAGAGGAGTGCCACTATGCAGGAGTCTGTGACTCGGTGTTCAGGCAACTGTGCAAAATTCTGGAGTTTCTCTTGCATTTCCTAGAAGACAGATTCAGTATTGTTCACTACAGTCAGCACCAATATAGGCAGTGATTATATTTGGATTCTGGATTCTGCTTGAAAATCCAAGCTATGAGAAGGTAAAATGTTTTTTGTATATTCTTCTGGTCAATGATAAAAGCAGTCACAGTAAGAGGTTAAAGAAAGCTGCTATGCACTCACCAGAAAAATGCACATGACTTCAGACACGAAATTCTGACAACAGGTTTACATAGTCACTGAGACAAAGCCTCTGGGATTAAAGCAAGTTACCAGTAAAAGTACACGAACTAGTCAATTTTGATTTACTCCCTGATCAAATAGTTCTTTCATTAGAGCAAGTGCTCTTATAAATGACACAGGACCATACCTACTCAGGGACAGGAAAAATAAACTGTTCTGTGACAGAGGTTAAAAGTTTCATGATAGTAAAGAATGAAAGTATTTGTCTGGTATTTTCTGGCATGGAATTGCAAGTATCCAAGAGACAGTGAAAATGCTGGGCTCAGGGAGAACACACTATGATGGGGACAACTCCACACAAAACGATCACACATATGGCTTTGGGGTTAGACCCATCTGGGATTTGAACACTGGGTTCATAAGGTAGAATATGTTCACTAGCCCTCAAAATTCCAATTTTCACTTTCTAAGAAAATCATTACAAGTCAACCTTCTCTTAATTTGTGAAGATTAAATGATACTACATAGAAAGTATTTAATTACTGTATCTCATACATATTGCAAAAAATATGTCTAATCAATTAAAAGCATCATCTTCTAAAAGAAATGCATTATTGCTCAACCTTATAGACTAACTTAAGTATCTTATTTATCTTGTACTAAGTTGCCATAAATGAATACCACAAACTTAAGCATTTGGTTAATCTAACGGAAAATAATACAATATCTAACAGTATAGTATCTTTTAAACCTATGTCTCCCTCTATAACTCAAGATATCTGGGTCTCTTCTCCTACCTGACGTGAGCAGAGAAACAAGTTCATTTTATTATGAATTTGGAGAACACAGAATGAGGATGAATGTATTATCCAGGAAAAAGTTATAGCACACATGTACTTCACATTTAGCAACCTTCTCTCAATAAAAAGCAAGCTTGTACGATATATTTCAGAGGTTCGCAAAGTGTGGCGCCTAAAGCAGCCACATAACAGTTAAAGAAGTTAATTTTGCCTAAAGAATAGAATAAACATTACATACTTGTGTACCTACTCGTGAATACTTTGAACTTAGTAAAATTACTGTCAGTAAATGGAAGACAACAAAGCACTCCCCCCTAATAAAAAAGGATCTATAGATCTATTTCTTATAAAACTAAATAGCAGTTTTAGCTCTTAGGTGTGGAGACATGTGAAGAGAATAACCTATGAACCCTCAGAAATTGTATGTAAAATTATATGGGTGACTGAACTTTCCAGGGATGACCAATCGCTTATCCCTACATTCTTCACAGCAATCTGTGACCCAAATTCAAGTTAAAAAACAACAGCACCTGGTAAAAGGAAGTATGACACTTTGGAAATGGAGATCTATTTCCTAACATGATAAATCATAACTCAGAACTAGCAATCTCCTGTACTGCAGTAGACACAATGAGAATTTGATGACAAAGAGACACTAAAAACATATTAAGTATAACAGTGTTCTCTTCAGTACCATTAACAGAAGAGGATTCTTTTTAATTATCCTCCCACTTTTAAATAGAATTTATCACTCAAGAAAAAAGGGTTTGACAGTGGAAAAAAAGAGGGTCTTAATTTTTTTTGGTTGTTTTTTTGCTCACCAAATAATCATGATGAGTCACCTCTAGAGAGGTTCACCAGGAACAGTACTCCACATGTCCAATCTACATTACAACATCCACTGCAACTACATGGTTTATGACAGGCACAGCTCTCATTTATGCACTGTGCCTCCTGTTTAAGATGTCTTCACTACTCTTTCTTGCTTTTGCAGCCTAAGTCCTACCTGCTCCATTTATTTTTTTGATCACATCTATCCACCCAGTTATTACTGTCTAATCTTCCTGGGTTCTTTGGAGTACAAAGAAAAAATTTCATTTTCTCTTGATGTTAACACTCAAGTGTTAACTCCCTGATCTATCTGAAGCCCCTTAAACTCAAGGCACATATTTTTAAAATTTTTGGTAGCTAAGATAGTCTTCTATTATAAGGAGATCAAAACTTAACTATACTGTAACTTCAGTTATAGAACAATATAACTAGAGAATAAGATTCAAAAGAAATGTCACCAGATAATGAGATCCAATAGGTCCTTGAATCTGCCTCAGATTTACCATAAATGGCAATGGCATTTATGGAGTAGCCTCATGGATTCACCAAATCTACTGAATGTCTCAGAAAACAACAGTTGTAGCTGCCTTGGTAACTCAGTGTTGCATCTTTAATGATGAGGCATGTGAGATCACCTATCAACTAAATAAGTTTAGAAAACCATAACATAATAGATTCCTAGTAAAACGAACAGGTAGACCCACACCTCTAAGAAAACATACATAGCATACATTTTGTTGGGGTGACATCAACAGTATTCCCTCTGTAGCAGTTGTAGCATATAGACTACCCTGTTCCTTTCTAGCAGACCTGTCAAGACAGCATGTCACCTACTTCAATCCTTGGTAACTGAAGAGGCTGTTCCAGTCATAGCTTTCAAGGAAGAGTAGATTTACTTCTTTGAATGGGCTGCTGTGGGCAGGCTGGCAAAAACAGCATATGAAGGACAGCACCAAGGCACTCATGGATGAAATTGTCCATAGCCAAAGTACAGTAATTACATTGTCATTCTTACAGAATCAAAACAGCTGGGAAACAAGTGAACACCATAATACAGGCCGAACACAAAACCAACTCCAACCAACACCTCAACAGGTCAAAGTAAATCTCCAAACAATTTTGATTTTACCACAGAAAACCCAAAAGGCAAGTTTTAAAAAGTATGGTTTAGGCCCCAAGTAGTTAATAATAAATTTGCAAATAGGCTATAATCAACTTCAAACTAGAAACCCTACAGGTAACAAAGCTGGAAGTGCAGCATGATAACAGGTTAACAAGGAATAACCCGTAACAAGAGTTTAGCATTTATGAGAATGCAGTCCATAAGCAATCTACCAATAAGATAGGACTTGTAGCCATACACTGAGAAGAGTAAGAAATTTCCCCATATTCATTAGATTGTCACTGCATAGTACTTATAGGAATAATTCTAGCAAACTTGTATTTGCAAAAGTAATTATTTAAACAATAACTGGGCTCTTAAGTAATGGTAATCAACCAACAAAGTAAATATCCTGTGCAGTCCTGGTTTATAAGTATCTTTCCTGAGTTGGTTAGGGTGAATCTCAGTGTCTCATCACTTCCTGAGTGATTGAGAATCAAATTTCTGAACATGAAAAAGTGAGAACCCAACCCAAGATGATTATTAACTTCATGAAAGCACAGCTACCCAGAGACATCAATGTTGACAGCTGGTGGGCCCTATCTTATCTTTTTACTAGACTGCAAGGAGGGAAACACAACAGAGAGGGAATGTTGAGTTGAGTGAATGACTTGTAAGGCACACCCAGTAGGTACAGAAGCAGCAGATGAGTATGGCAAGCCAAATACAGAGGGCCTAGCCCTCTGATTTAAATGTTAGTCTTTCTAGCCTTAGGTACCTGTGCGGTCTGGTCATGTAAAATATGCACGTTGTAGCCCAAGAGCTTGAACAGGGTGACTAAAGTACTGTGGTCCACATCCCCTCCAGAGCGAAATTCCAGGTCTTTTTCTCCAGTGAAGTGCACATTGCTCAGCACTAGTGCCAGGCCACGAGGCCGAGACTGTAATCTGTAGGCCTGGGGAGAAGAGACTAGTTAGATCACGAGATTCCTGATGACAGAAACGATGATTCCAATGCTAGATTAGGTATTTCTAAAATTAAAAGCAAAACAAAAAACCTAAGATGTGATATTCTTCTTAGCCCTGCAAGGTGAAATTAGAAAAATGGCCACAGGAAGCATTTCATCAGCAATGACTTTGTGAATAATATAGCACTAAGGAAATGTATATACAAACTAGGATCAGATGCCCGGGAAAGCTTTCTCATAGCCCAACTCTCTTCCTTTTAGTGTTATGAAAGACTCACCAGCTGGTAATGTGTCTGATAAAACTCAGGAGTGCAAGGCTTCACCTGAAGGCAGGGAGGACCATCTCCATTATCTAGGGAGTGTTCCACAGTATCTACTGTATAGACAGAAAGCCAAACAACTAGATTGATATGTAAACATCAATCCTAATGTAACACTGTAACTTTAGGTACCCCTCTGAACTGAGGTTTTGATAAATACTGGCCTTACTCACTACCCTAAGCTCCAGGAGGGCACAGACTTTTTAGCTTTAGCTCATAAGCAGGTTCTCTTCACTTCGCTTGCAGGTAGTAGGTGCTCAAACTGCTGAATGACTGAAAAAGGGGAGAAAAGCCTGGTTCTAATCACTAAGCTACACATTAGAAGGCTGATAGCCTAAAATGTAGTTTCTTCTCATTCAACTTTGAAGGGAAAAGTCAAATAATGTGTAGGTATTTCCTAACCATGTAAGTTGCTCAAAGGACCAATTACCCTAAAGAATATTATCTGTGATGGAAGGGAAATGGGCCCAACTACGTTCCATCTAAATTGTCCTCCTAGTTTCTAAAAATTCACTTAAGAATCTATTCCTAGTACGAAATGTATCTCGTGTTAGGGGAAAAGCCAGATACCAGTCAAAAACTGGTAAGTCAATCTATGAGACCCCTTTTATCTCATCAATTCTCACCTGTCGACAGGCGGAGCTGCTTATGAGGGGGACAGGACTCACACACTGGGAAAGGGAGACTCACATCGTAGTCACAGCTCAACTGTAAGAAATCAGGACTCACCATAAAGATCTTAGGGAGATGGTCTAGTCCAAATCTAACCTCCCCTACCCTATCCCCCCACCAAAAAAAAAAAAAAAACCCTTTTTGACCAAACTCTTCCCAAGACACCACATTTCTAGGGCTCCGTACCGGTGGGAGAACATGCTGAAGACCAGAGAGGGTTGAGAGTAATAGATCCTCCAGGTGACCTTGCTTGGTCTCCCTCAGTGCCTCACAGAAGGCATTAAAAGCCTGGGGGCCCCTCTTAGGCAACAAGTTGAGGAGTTCCACATTCTGGCTGAAACTGCCCACTTTGGCCTAAGATACAGGAATAAAAAGCAGACTCACATTTACTTATATGGTTATAATTCTATTTTTCACATGTGCTTCCTAAGAATTCCTTTCACAGGGAAAGTATGTACAGATAAAGTCTTCCTCATTAATCTTGAATTATGTATCTTTTCTGTCAAACTCTCTAGGATTGGAAGGGCATTTCCATTTCCTTAGTAAGGCACCACATCATTTCCACACTGTATTATGTTCTGTGCTACCCCTAAGGCTAATTTATCTTCTTGGCTCTTCTTTTTCACCTTCAGATACCTGGATGAGCTCCCTCATTTCCAAAGTGATGATGTCCTTCTCCAGGAGATGTTCTAATAGTTCACTCAGCAACAGCTGTTTGGCTAGCACCACTCGGTTCTTTTTCAGTGTTTCTTGATGGTCAGGATGCATACCACATACTCCCAGTATCCTACAGATAAGAAGTATACAGAAAGGCTGTGAAATATAAGATCTGACACAAAAGAGTGGAAGAGGTGTGGGTAAGAACAACAAAAAGAACAGAACTTGAAATAACCAAGATCAAGCATATTTTATTGAATCTGATTAAAAACAAAGATGTACTGAGCAGTAACACAATGACTCTTAAGGAATGGACTGTCTTAGAGTATGTGCAATTTTAATTAAGAGAATAACTGCAGAAAACATTTCATGTTATTTATCTAAAACGAATGTCTGTTTAAAATGACTTTTGTTAGAGAATAATTTAATACAATAGCAAAAACTGAAGCCAGTGGACACATACTCACTATAGACCATTTATACAAATTATATTTTTTACAACTTTTAAATTCCTGCAACAGATGACACTAAAAATAATCACAATTCTGTAAGATGTGGATAAGTAGAAAGCACAATAGAAAGCAACAGTAGGTAAACATTACTAATGAATAATCAGTGTATTTGAAATCACAAGGTTAGTCCAAGTAAAGGTTAAATTATTTTGGTAACTTAGTGCTAAGTAGAGACAGCTTTATTTCAAAGATTCCCTAGTTTTGCTACTGGTTTGCAAAGAACAGATCAGCTTCTGCTTATAAACTAAGAGAATTGCAGTTCCAATATATATCATCTATGGTCCTAATGAATCTTATGTCCAGAGCTTTCCAGTCTGCTTAGTTTTCAAAAATATAACATTCAGGGCCTGGTAGCAGTATGAAAGTGATAGAACAGATTCACTTTTATAACTTAAAACCTATTTCAAAATGTATTTGATTTCAAAGATAATAAAATGTGGAAGAAAAATACACACTTTCGAATCAGTGAAATACTATGCATGTATAGTATGGATGCACTTGACTTAAGAGACGTACTTGGGCTAGAGACTTATAGTTAGATGGAAAAGCAAGGCCTGGGAGGAACTGAGACCCAAGAAGGCAGCAAGAGGATCCTAAGGCAGAGGGAGGTATTTGGAATTCTCCTGCTACTCCAAACATTTACTGAAACCTGTTACAACAACAGATTCTACACAAATCAAAACCCCATTAAAAAATCACCTTAAGAGACACCAAAGCAGTAACAATAACACATACAAGTTCTGGTAAACGTAATGTAATACTGCAGCTGGTGGAGCAGATTCTTCCTGCAGTTTATCAATCACTCCTTAAAATTTTCTCTACCTTCAGTTTGCACACTCCATTCTCTCCAGGTAGTCTCTGGTTACCATGCTGTTTCCTTTAGAGGACCTTCAGCCTGCCCTGAAATGTTCATTTTGCATTAGGACTCCCCTGCAAAAAGCCTCTGCCCTAGGCAATTTCATCCGTACTTATAATTCACTAATTAGCTCTCAGTTTTGAACTCTCTCAAGTTCCAGGCTCGAATTCTTAAGCAACAACTCAGTTTTTCTCTGAAGCATCACCCACTCTCTGCACACCTGCTCCTTCCTCTACCATGGGGAAAGTCTTAAATGTGAACTTCCCAAAAGTTCTCACTTTGAATTTAGGACACTGTCGGTACCGGATGGGACAAAGGACATCAAAGAGTTCTAAAGTTTTGATTCTGGGTCCTGTTGAAGATTCCTGTTCTTAAGCTTATCTTCTGGGTCTGGACCAGGTCGCATTAAAATGTACTGTTGGGTGATGTGTGCCCAGAACCGGGAATGCACAGGGCAGAGGCAATGATATACTCGGAGACACAGAACTTCCTAGTCCCCTCAAAGAATTCAAATCCCGAAGCCCGTGAAGAAGTCTTAAAAAAAAATCTGGCTATTGTACTGAAAGCAGTGCAGGCATGATACAGCCAATCCAAATCAAATGCACGCCAAGATGAGCATCTAGGTCTGCAAAAGGGTCTCACTGGTTTTTTTAGGAGGCAGTATAGTTGAAAGGATGGAGAATTTTTAGGGGAAGCCAAAGCCGAGATCCGGCGGGACTGGGAAGAGCTACCTATGTGCAGAAGCCCTTAGGCTGAACAATGGGAGGCCAGGGCAGCCTATGCCAGGAGGGAGGAGGCCAAGGTTTCCGCCCGCGCCGCGTTAGCCCGGAGCCGCCCGAGGGTGCCCTAGAGCTTCCCACCCCAGGCAGGACGCGGGGACACAGCTGCTTCTGGGGGCTCCGAGGACAGGGGGTGACAGGGCCGCAAACCAAGGACCCCGGTCCGCTTGCCTGGGCCCCACTAAATCCCCCGGGGCTCTTCCACTCTCACCTGCCCCTCCTGTCAGCGGCCATTAGCCCTTTTGGCTGCAGGGCAGGTCGGGACCCCGCGCTCGGCACCGCCATTTCCCGCTTTTCCCGGGCTGTGCACGGACCGCCCACAACACAAACAAACCGGAGACCGCGGCTCTCTCCACATCCCTCCCACTGGCTGCGACGCACGCTGCGCCTGCGCCTGCGCTCGCGCCTTGACGCCCCGGCCCCTCCCTGACGCCAGACAGGCCCCGCCCCCGCCGTGGCCGGTGCGTGCGCAAGCGCAGAACGCTTGCTGCGGCTGCACTGACCAATAGGGCAAGAGAAGGCGCTGGGCGGAACGGGAAGGGGCGGGGAAAGAACAAGGACCCTTCGACCTGGGAATCCGACTGGTTGTCGATTCCCGCGGAAATTGTGTTTTCCCCCCTTCCCCTCCTCTGGCACCTCGCGTTCCTCTTGCCCCGCCTAGTGGAAAAACTTCACCGAGACCAGTGCGGCTGGGCTTCACGCTTCGTTGGGGATGAAGTGCTGGGGCCAGAATGCAGAGAAAATGGAGAGCACTAACGCGCTCTTCCGGAAGCTCGGGGCACCCCTGCTCGCGCTCAGCCCTCCCTGCTGCACTTAGTCTTCCATCCCTTACCAGCAGTTGTCCCAAGACAGGGATTGAGAGAAGTGTGGGTGACCTGTTTCCCGTTGGTTACCTTGTATTGAAAACACAATAGGCTTTGGAATTAAGAGTCCATTAAGTTATTTTTATGTTATTTACCAGTGGTGATTCCATGTACAAGTTATCCAACTCCTCTGCCCTTAGAATCCTCATTTCCCAGTGAGGGTAGTAATACTTCACGAGGGATCTAGGAGAAGCACTGCATTTGGAACAGATGTATCAGCTGTCACTCAGCTATTAACTGTTTTTCTTACCCAGCTTCTTCTGGATCACCTCTCCTTCACACCCTCAGTCTAACAGTGGAACTATTAGACACGGGGTGAGCCACCAACTTTGCTAGAAGAATCAAATTGTGCCACCTACATCTCCACTGGGAGGGGCTTACCACAGCCTGACTTCCCTCTGGGTTCAAGGCCCCATTTATGATGTCTAGATAGAAACAGTTCCAGACACAGTAGGGACTGTGAAATGTTGGGCAAAGGAGAGTGGGTCTGGTGTGGAGGGATGGTAATTCCTGAGAATCACTTTAGGGCATTGTCCAGTTGTTTTCATGGAAAACATTATCATCATCAGGGTGAGCAAAGCAGACATCATAGGTAGGGGGTGGAGTAAGAGGCTCCAATTTGGGGAGCCCTCTCAAGTTTTGCAGATCAGGAGCAGTGGACACAACCCGTGGTACTCGCAGCTGAAGACCGATTAGAGTGTTTCCAGGATTTCCTTCCAGAGTTATAGTTCCCTCTGAGCCCACTCGCCTTTCCAGTCTGCTTATCCCAAGCCTTTCTGGTTGACTGGGCTGTCCCCCATCAAGTTCTGGGATGATTACAACACTACTGTAAGGGGGTGGTTGATCCAACTCTTGGGGTTGGCACTGTGATTCCATTACCTCTACAGCCTCTTCATAAGTTGGCACCTCAAAACCTTCATTGTCCCTAAGGAAGAGAAATGAGGTTATTAGTGGCTTCCTGAAAGGAGTCCTTTTTTCCCTTTCCTGTTTGCTATTTGCAAAGGCTCATCTGCTGGCCATGCCCCCTGTTCTCACTGATGCCAGTGACAGAGGAAAGCAGCCTGTGCCTAGGAACTAAAAGTACAGAGGGAGAAAGGGCTCAAGGCGCATTTCTGCCATCCTACCCACCCCTAACTCACCGTGCATTGTCTGAGGCCCCTGGGTTCTCTGTCTGCATTGATCGGAACCCCCGTTCCAGAGAACAGGCCAGAAGGCAGGCAAACAGGAAGACGCCAGCCAAGGTCAGAAAGAAATATGCGCCAGGGGCAACTTGCGGCCATACACCCAGTAAAACCAGCCCAAGGAAAAGGGAGGCACTGCTTAGGAAGAGAAGTGGCTTCTTCAGTCTCCCCCATAACTGGCTTGGCACCATGGCCCCTCCCAGGGCACCTGCAAAAAGACACACAGTTGTTGTGTGTAAATTTGCACTTGGCATCACAGCTATGCCAGAAACCAAAATCAGCATATTATACTCCTCTGTTTGGGTTCCAGGTTCTTCAACCTCAAATCAAATAAATGACCTGCAGGGTCTCTTCCAGCTCCACAATTCTCTCTAGGTTTTCACTGTATTTTGAAAAAGCCAAGGAAACCAGTCCAGGAGTTCTGACTCCCAGCTCTCATATGAGTTTACTATATGTCATTCTGCCTGCCTTCCTTATTCTTTCTCCCTGCAGTCTCTCTTCTAGTTTCTCTCTATAGCACACAGGATCCAGTGAGGGCCATCCTGCCTATGGCTTCCATTGTACACCGGCATTTCTGGAATCCAGGTGATGGGGCAGGCCCTGCCCTTTTCTCTATTACTCCTGTGGCTGGACCTCCACCCTTCACCTGCCCAGCCAGAGGCCCTCTTCTGTCTGACCCTGTTGGAGGGAGAAGAGGGAAGGGTGCATCACTTACCCTGTCTGCCTCAGTCTTCTGGTATCTCCCAGTCAAGTCAGCCCATGTTCTGGTTAGAAGTGTATACAGATGCAACAAAGCTACAGAGGCACAAACTAAGTGAGAACAAAGACCCAGGGCCCTTATGACTTCCTGATTTCTACACCCCCATGTCTTCCAGATGCTACCTCCCTCTCCCTCACTCGCCTTAGATTTCAACTTTCCTGCCAGGAGTCAGCAAAAGGGTTGGGGGTGGGGTGGAGGGGAAGAAGCCTTTTCTTTTCTCTGAAACAGTAACAAGTCCAAGGTGGCTCACATTCCCAAACCAGCCTTCAGTTCCCTGAACCCTGTGTCACAGACCCCCTCCCTGACCTCTCCTACTTAACTCCAGCCCCACTCCCCTGACCTCCACCCCACCCCTGTCAGCAGTCTCAGGAGTTCCTGCTCACCTGTATCCTCCAATGGTCACCAGAAAGCAGGTCAGTGAACAGGAAAGCAGGGGGAGGAGGCGGAGCTCACTGGTCCCACCCTCTTCTGCCCCAGTCCCTCTTTTCTGCCCAGTCTTCCTCCTTCTCCTTTCTTCCCGAGTTTGACCTGCTACTGCCCCACCTTCTCTTCCACTCCACCCACAGGCAGGGCCCTTAAGAGACGTTCCCCCTTCTCCCATGATCTTTGTACTTAGGACGCAAATTAGAATTAAACTTTTCTTCTTCCTTCTCAGCTCACCTTGGATGGTAATCACAGCTCTGAGCAATGTGCCTTCTATTTGGGTACCTTATATTGTGCCTGTCTTCCAAGTGACTGGAGCAGAGGTGTGGCTTATTAAATCTCTGTTGATCACACAGTGTTTTGCACAATGCAAACCATGATGTGTCTGGTGTGTCCCCTCTCTGCTGCTGTTCTATGGACTCCCTGTTTCCTGCTGACCATAAAGTAAGTGTGTGTGTGTATATGAGTGTGTGTGTCTCCACTTCTTGGCCCAGTTAACTAGATTTTTCGAAATCTATCTCCCAGGTGATGCCTGTTTCCAGAGTCTGTTTCCACTATGAAACCACAACATTTCTTCCTTCCTTTATTCCTGAGAAAGGAACAGTCATCTAATACTTACCAGTTATATAGTACTTTTCTGATTACTTGCTTTTCTTCCACCTGGAGTTTCTCAAGGAAAGTGATTAGTTTCAGTCTCAACACAGGGTAGGTACTACTCAATAGAGTTGAGTATTTCATTAGAAGTCACCCTTACAGGGAGCCACACCAGTTGTAGATCAGGCTGTAAGTCTGTATAAGTGAGGTTTGGGGAGGTAGAGAGTGGCTGTGTCCTTCAACCAGACAAGAATGGGCCCTGTTCCTTCAGTATGTCATTATTGGACAAGCCAATGGTAGCTGCAAGTGAGGCAGGAGTGTAATCCAAGGTCCTCAGGGACAGTTGAGGGGGCGGTGTAGCTCAGGCTGCTGCAGCAGAGGCATATGTGGAGTATGTATACATGAGGGAGACAGAGGAGAGGGAAAGGGAGACAGAAAACATGGGTGTGAACATGGGGTGTATGTCCATACAAAGTAGGAATGGGGAGTGGGAGGAGAGCTGGTGTTTATTTTGTTTACACCAAGCAAAATATTTAATTTTTTTGTTTGTTTTTTGATTCAGGGTCTTGCTGTGTAGCTTGGTTGACCTCAGACTCACTGTATAGCCCAGGCTGGCCTTAAACTTGTGATCCCCCTGCCTTAGACTCCCAAGTTCTGGGACTACAGGTCTGAACTACCATGCCTGGCTCATATTTATTTAATTTGTTTCCACCAGTTTCCTTATTATTCAGCCCATGGGAGGAAAGTATGGCTGGAATCAGGAATTTTGGTCTTTAGTTAATATATAAATAGAAGGAAATTGACCAAAGGTTGTTGGAATGTATGATAAGTTAGGGAGCTTTTTTAAGGCGTGAGTTTGGGGATGTAGGGGGTATAGGATAAGAGGCAAGGGGCCAAAGGATATGGGCCCAATCGTGTATAATGTCAGGGTTAGTTATGCTTTGCTGGAGAGCTGTGACTTTTATAGCTTAAGGGACTTAATTGCCAGAGGAGGGTGCAGTAGATCTGTAATTGTGATAGGAAGTAGATCTAAATCAGAGAGGCTGTACTACCTGCTGGCTGTGTGCTTTAGTGTATTCTCTGTTCCAATAATTTCAAATTGATTTTCTAAAAATTGCATTTGTTAAAAAAGTTACAAAATATTTAGAAGCTAAAGAAAAAATGATTCGAAATTGTAAAATTGATTTACATTTTGAAATGTACAACTGCCTGAGTTGTACATTTCAAAAGGTGAATTATATCTCAATAAAGCTGTTCAAAAATAATGTAAAGAACATCTTCTTACATGTAGTTTTTCCCTCTTTTTTGCATATTGCAAATCCTTAGCTTGTGTGCAGACATTTGGGCATTGATGTGAAATGTGGAGCATCACAGAATTACAATCTCATTACATTCTTTTTTTATTCTGAACAGTACTTAATATTTTTGTTTTTAATTTACATTTTATCTTTGGCCAATAATTGTGTGTAGTTACAGGGTACAATGATGTTTTGATACATGAGTACATTGTAGAATGATTACATTGTGATTACTAGCATATCACCTCAACATTTTTATGTAATTATAGTACCCAATATACTTTTAGCAATTTGGAAATAGACAGTATATTAACTATGGTTACTATTATGTGCAATAAATCTTAAAAAAAATGATTCCTATTGCCTAAACTTTGTGCCCTTTGGTCAACATCTTCCCAATCCTGCCCTAGCCTGTGGTAACCATTTTATTCTATTTATATTGTTTTTAGATTGTTTTTCTTCTTTGAGTCAGTGTCTCACTATGTCTTAGCCCAAGCTAATCTTGAACTCAAAATTGTCCTTCCCCAGTCTAGAGTGCTGGAATTACAGGTATGCATCACCATATCCACTTTGACTTTGTAGATTCTACATGTAAGGGAAATCACGCAGTATTTGCCTTTCTGTGCCTGACTTATTTGAATTAGTATAATGTCTTCCAGCTTCATCCATTTGTTGTAAGTGAACTTTTCTATTTTAAGGCTGAATAGTATTCCATTATACATACATATCTTATTTTATCTATTGATGGACACTTACACTGATTCCTTATCTTAGCTATTGTGAATAACGCTGTAATGAACATAGGGAGTGAAGACAGCTCTTTTATGTACTGATTCCATTATTCTTAGATGTACACCCAGAAGTGGAATTGCTGGCTCATATGGTAGTTCTTTTAGTTTTGAAGACTCTCCATATCATTTCTGAAAATGGCTGTACCAAAGTTGACTCTCCCTGGTCTTCCTGAAGGAGGGAAGAAGGACAGCCCTCAAGGTTACAGGGGCCACTGCTATCTGGTAGAGAAATTCAGGTCTCAGGGTCCCAAAGGGGAGGGAGATTAAACAGATGATGGCCTGCTTGTTTATATCAATAGTTTGCAAAGGAGTCTTTAAGTCTGGCATTCAGGGATGTAGGTACAGGGCCCATCCATTTCTGTCTTCAATCACGAGAATCACAGACATCTGTACACTGTTCTCTGGTGTGCTGGAAGCAGGGGCTGGCCCCACAGGATCCAGGGATTTTCTAGGAAGAGATTTTGCTTCAAGATCCAGAAAGCTTCCTTCTCCCTTACAGGGGAGAGAGAAAGGAAGTGGTTCCTCTCCCATTTAACCTTGATTAACACTGTCTGGAATTAATATATTGATATTAATATATTAAGGCCTTCTCACAAAGATTTTATATGTTGACATATATTGATTTCCAGTCAATATTATACCCTAAGACTTTCCAAGGGTCTTAAAAGCTCTTCACAAATACAGTTTTTATGGCTATGAAACATTACCTTCTGGAAATACCATAGTTTTATTGAAGTATCCTCCTGCTGTGAGATGTTTAAGTTGTCAGTTTTTTTTTTAAAAAAAACGTTTTTATTAGTATATGATAGTTTTACAGGAGGATTTTTTACAGTCACAATTTTTGAAATAATGAAAAATTAGTGTGGAGACAGGCACCTTTATTCATGAAATTGTCTTCACTCACCATATACTGGGCAGCTCTCATCTATGAGGAACTATACTTTGTTTCAATTTACCCTTAAGTTTGGAAAGATTGGACATCTTCCCATATTTTCTTGTTTTTTTTTTTTTTCATTTTATGGTATTTCTACACATCATGAAACTTCTTTGAAAACAGGAGTAGTTAATATGGAGATGTACTTTTGGTATTACTTCATAGAGAACCTAGGTAAAAAGGATTTTAAATTCTGGAAGATGCCAGAATCATGGAAAAGAGGCAAGAGGAAAAAGTCAAAAAGTAATGGGAGACAAAGGGGAAAATGGGAGGAGACAAGAAGTAACTAGGAGGAGGGAGTAAAGAGACATTGGCATTCACTGAAGGCTCTGCACCTCAGTTTCAGAATAAAGTCTTCCCGTAGGAGTCAAAATGCTATTGAAACTCACAGTATTTTGATTAATGCACAGTGGCACAGAGAGAAGCAGGGACTTTTGATAAATAACTAGGGGAAAGATACTTGGGAGGGGACAAGGGTTATACCAGACCAGGGACAGAGGCCTAGGGATATCCTCCGAATTCACATGGTGGGTCAGGGGTGGAAACTATGAGGGGTTAGCAACTTCCCAAGCCATGGCAATGCCAGCATCTCACTGCACTGCCTAGTCCTGGCTCTGCTGTTCTCTGTAGCTAGACACAGCTTAAATGTCTGGGCAGAAACTGGGCCATACTCTGGTTCCCTCCAAGTTCACTCCTACTGGAGTTATGGTCCCAGCCCTGTCCTCATCACTGTAGTTGATCAGTCAGTAAATGGAAAGCTGGTTAGCTGCAAAGTCCATGGGGTTTAGTTTTCTGTCCCTGACATAGATAACTGGTTTCTGAGTAAGAGAAAAGGGGGACTGTTTCCTGTACCTGCCACACATATGCCCCACAGTGGGTTGGGAGAGCTGAATCTTTTAGACTCAGCTCAATCCCTGGAGTGGACAGGATGTGACTTCAGGGCAGACCCAGTCCCAGAAATGTTTTGCTTAATGGCATTAGCTTTATTTTGGGGGCTTTCCAAAAGTCACTTGTAAGGCACAGAGGAAAGGCAGCCACAACTAATAGTACACCATCCCGAGGGTATGCAGAGACAGCCACAAGGGCCACAGAAAACACTCCTATCATATAAAGAGTTCCAACTCCCAATGCCCCAAAGTGAAGGGAGGAGAGGTGAAGAAGGTGGCCTGCTTGTTTATACCAGTAGTTTGCTTCCTCCAGACTATTTTAAAGTCTAGCACTCAGGACTGGAGGCATAGGGCCCATCCACTTCTCTCCTGTGTGAAGAAAATCACAGGTGTATTGGCAGCAGGGGAAAGCCCACAGAGCCCTGGGCTTTCTAGAAAGAGCTTCAAGTCCCAGAAGGCTGCTTTCCCTTCTATGGGGGATGAAGCCCCTCCCCTCCCTTCAACCTTAAGCAACACTGACTGTATAAGTCTTCCTTGTTGGAAGTGCCAAGAGCATTTTTTGCTCTGAACTCTTCCTTCTGGTCAACTGATGTAATGGGGGTAAGGCTGGGGTTAAAGGCTCAGAATAGAAACCTGAACTTACCCAGAAGGTGTGCTAACAACTCCATGCGGTCAGAGCCAAATAACATATGGGTGTTGCCATCCACATGGACCACGGTAGTGGGCAGTCCAAAGGCCTGGAAAAAGCAGTGATAGTGTAGGGAGGAAGGTGATGGAGCAGGTGATTATTAGGCTGGGATTAAGGGCTTCTAGGCAACACTTGGCAGGGGATGAGAAGCAAAACCAAAGAAAACATGTTTGCTAAGAGGTTGCAGGTTCCCAGGCACCTTCTCCACTTCTGTGGCATGGAGACTCTGGCTTTTCTCTCACCATCTACTTCTTCTTCCCTGCTGTTCTTGGGCTCAGGTAGAGGGAGGGAGAAAATAAAGGTTGTCTAGAATATCTGGGGAGGACTCACAGTAAGGAGGGGGCTTTTGGACAGGAGCACTGAGCCAGCCCCACACTGAGACTCAGTCTCCACCTGTGTGTTGGGAACACACATAGAGTTGCTTACCCCGTATTTGCAGGCTGCTTCAGTAGTCTCCCTGAGCTGCTTTTTCACCTGTGCTGTGGAGATCTTCTCCAGAAGGCCTTGGGCTTGTCTTGCAGACATACCTGCCTTCTCTGCAGCCTGAGGAGAATGGCAGGAAGCACAGCTGTGCCAACATTGTGGGTTTGGGAGCTTAGAAGAAAACTCTGGTCTTTTCCTTCTCTGCCTCCAAGTTTTCCTGAAAAAGCCTTTAGCTAACTGCAATTGGAGCTCTAGTCAAGAGAAACTATCTCCTTTCTCCATTTTTGAGATGAGAAGAAAGCCAGGAGGAACAGAGGCGCAGTCACAAAAACTGAACACCAGAGAGTATCTTAGAGACTGGCTAGCCTCACCTCTTCATTTCACAAAAAAGGAGACTTTACTTGAAGCCACACATTTCTTGTCCAGAGTTACAGAGCTTGTCAATAGTACACTAGACTCCAAGTCCCTAGAATTCCCAGATGCTTTCCTTCTTGCTTCTCAGAATCCCTAAATATCTCATGCTGTTTTGAATCAAGGACTGGGTTCTAGTTTCAGGGGATTTTGGAACAAGTTCATGGCTATAGTCACCCACCTGGTTTCAAGAGAACAACAAAGGTTTCAGTTTAAGGGTGACTGTTAAAAGTTTGGGATCAGTGGTTCATAACTTCAGGTATACATTAGAATCTCCTGAGGTGCTTTTAAAAATCCTAATGTGCAGGTAGGCCATTCCCAGAGCATGATGTCAGAACCTCTCGGGGATAACACTACATTCTCCAGGTGATGTTAACTTATGGCCCAGGTTAGGAAGCACTAAGCTGGAGGTCATGAAATCCATGTTAACAAGTCATTGTCCTTGACAGGTTAAACGAAAGACTCGTGTCTTAGACTAAATGCTCAACAATAGGGGAATGGACAAGTGAACAAAAATAAGGCCTTTAGGTGGAATGTTATGTAAAAACAAAGAATGACTAGTTCAAAAAGTTAAGTGGCATGAAAAGTGATTGTTAAGTAATAAGTAAAAACACAGGCTAAAAATTATGTACATACTTTGTAGGGATAAAGACACTAGAAGATGTGCTGGTCATTGTTTGCACATTTAACTTTGGTATGGTTTGCTGTTTATGAATATGCCTCAACTATCTTCTGTAAACTGGAGGAAAAATACTGTTTTGAATTTTCTGACTTAATCCTAAAGAACATCTTACATATAAAACCTCACCATCTCTGTCTGGCAGGCATTTCAATGCTTTCGGTACTTTCCACTGTTCTCACTCAGCATCTGTATCATTCTTGTACTTACTGGTTATCTTTTTGGTCTTTTTAAAAGCCTCTTTAAAAAGTTTTCTGGTTTCTTCTCTGCATGTATTGGTGAGGTTTATGTTGGGAGTCTTTGAGGACCTCTAATTCTATCTGGTGTTTCAAAATTGATCATATGTCCTCCAGTGATTTTTTTTGTGTGTGATACTGGAGTTTGAACTAAGAGCTTCATGCTTGCTAGGCAGGTGCTCTACTGCTTGAGCCACACCTCCAGCAGCCCCACTGACTTTTTCATGAAATACTTTTGAGGTAGGCAAGAATTAGGGAAAGTTTGGGACTCTTGGAACATACTGACTTCATATTGTTTGAACATTCCTCTCTTTCTCTGATCCTTCTTTTCCCTTGCAAATATGTGTAGGTTATTCACTCCCTAGCTCAGGGACATCACCTGGCCCAGGGACCATCCATGTCTCCCCCCACTCACTGATTATTGGTTGAGAATCACCAGCTTCTTCCCTTCCTGTAGTTTAGTGTAAGTTTTAAAAACACATGGAAAAGAAAGAAGACTGTCTCTGTTTCCAGCTCCCACCTGGTCCCATCATGATGCATTTTGTAATTCCCCTCCCTAACTTTTAATTAAAACCCTATTATACCCACCTATCCTGCCTTGGGTGCTTCCACATGGGACACAAAGAATTTGGAAATCTTCTGATCACAGACTACATCATTGCCATCAACACATTCACAATTCTATCTGTTCTCCACTTTGCATTTCCTCTTTCCACGGTGAGATATTTTCTTCCTCTCTTTGATGTTGGGGATTAAACCAAGGGCTTTGTACATGCTAGGTACATGCTGGAACTCTGAGTCATACCTTAACCCAAGACATTCTTTGAAGAATGTTTTTGGTTTCATCTTTTCAGAAATTTTTTCTTCAAACACAGACATTCTTTCTCTCCAAATCACTATGACCTTTTCCATGGAAACTACTATCCTCTTAATCCCAAAGGTCAACTGTTCTCAGATTCCCTATGACAGTAGCAGGGATTAGGTCGGGACACTCACAGCCAAGATGCTCTGGGGCTCTGTGATGTCTTCATCCTGGGAAGAAGAGAACACTCAGCAGGAAGCCAACAGTCAGGATCCTGACTCTTAAAACTGGCCTGGGAAGAGTCAGAAGGGGATCCAGGGTTCCCTCCAGTAGAGTCTCACTCGTGACCAGACACGCATCCAAAGCTCCCTGGACACCTTCTCCAACATCTCCGGTTGGTCCATGTTCACAGCGGTGAGGAAACGCATGGCAGACAAACTTCCTGTAGGGCACAGGCAGTCAGAAGTGGGGCTCCCCTCCTTCATATCCTGATGGGGCACCAGCTCATCCCAGCTCAGTGTCCCCCAGGCTCAGACACCAGCAGCCTTTCACCTGTTTCTCATAACCAACTTGGCCTACTTGGACTCTCCTTTATGTACCCAAGACCTTTGGAGTTTCACTCAACTTTGATCCTGAGGCGCCCACAGAGGAATACTTCACCTAAATTAGCCCCCCAGCAAGCCTCTTCTTCCTAGCACATTATGCAACGACAGTTGCATCCCACCCTCTTTACCTTTTTCAAGAATCACAGAGAAGAAATCCTTGGGGAAAGTGATAGGAACCTGGAAATGACCTTTCAGGAGATTAAGGTCAGTTTTCAAGTACAGTGCTTTGCTGGCAATCATAGCTGGTGGCTGGTTTCCTGGTGGTGGAGAGTGGAGTATCATGGTGATTAAAGATGAGGGTTTCAGGCTTGCAGGACCCCTACTTGCGCGTTGGGCAGAGAGAAAATTACTAGCTGCCAATATAAACACTTGTAGAGGACAGCATCTGGGGGCAGTGCTATCAGTTCTCCCCGCCCTCTCCCAGTTGCTTCCAGCTTCCTACCACTGTCTTACCGCTCTCCCTCATGATCCCCGAAATGAGGGTGGGCCGCAACTGCAGCTTGACTTTGTTCCAGATGTGTTGATATCTACACAGGACCTACTCGTGCAGCAGCAAAGAAGGAAAGCCAGTGTGAAAGACGACAGAAAAAGTGACATAACCGAGGGGAAGGTAAGAGCTGGCTCTAATAGCAGAGTAAGTGTGGTTTAAAAAAACAAATCTCTCTCCGCTCCTAGGAAATCTGTCCCCTGACCTTTGCTTCTACGGATTGTTCCCATCCTGTTTTGCACCCTGGCTCTCAAAACTGAGCAGAGGGCCAAGAGGTGGCCCTGGATTCCTCCTGGATTCTTGTAACCCACCGTGGGAAGCGGATGTACTGTTTAAGGAAATGAAGCCTCTACTTAGTCTAACCAGATTAAAAGTACAAAGTGACCTTCTGCCGGGCCATTCTCTCTGCTTGCTGTAACCCTACGGGTAGTGCCAGAGATTTCAGGAGACCTCTGGCCAATGCCCCGCCCTCGCCCTCCAGGCCGCAGGAGCTCCCCGGGGGTCACCTCGAAACCCAGCCAGGAGTAGGGGGACAGCACGTCGTAGAAGAGCTCTAGAGTGCGCGGCACTGGCCCCATGCTGCAGCCGGAGACTAACACGAAGGTGAACACGAAGCCAGCGGCTGCGAAAGCTTAGCGGCACGGGCTCCCAGTCTTCGCAGCGCGCAGGCGCCGCCCGCTGCCCGGCCCCGCAGTCGGACCACCCACGGCGCAGCGCGCAGCCTCCGTGGAGAGGCCCCGCCCCCGAGGCCAGAGCCTTGCAGGAGAGCTGGGCGCTCAGGGTGCACCAGGCGGCGGGCGTCCAGGTAGATGGGGGTGCCTGGTACCTGGACTCACCGCCCTGCTCTGAAATGGAGTCTGGGGCAAAGGTGGAGTCTGAGATACCTTCAGTGTCTCCCATTTAGCTGTGCGCCTTTGGCGAGCCACTAGATCTCTCTGAATCTCTCTGGAACTTTATCCCTCCCGCAGGGTGTATGAGATGCGTGATGATACAGAGTTGTGAGGAATGAAAGGACCTTTATTACTGTTACTTGGCAGTTACATGAATCTCTTAGACTGGGGCACAGTAGGCGTTCCCAATTACACATTTTCTAGTGTTTGCCTTCTCAGAGATTAGCACAGGGACTGGAACATATTTAAATCCTTCCTTATTTCCCCGAGACCCCCTGTGAATGCCTGAAATCGCAGATAGTACCGAACCCTATATGTACTGTTTCTTTCCAATACATACAGATGACGAAGTTTAATTCGCAAATCAGGAACGTTAGGGATTAATAACTAATAAAATAGAACAAACATAAAAACATACCGTACTAAAATTTTGTGCTTTGGGGCCACCATTATGTAAAATAGGGGTTACTGAAACACAAGAATTCCAATAGTACAACACTTGGTCTGATAACAAAGATGATCACTGAAAAAGAGGTGCGTAGTGTATACAGTGGAAACACAGGACAAGAGACGATGTACATCCCAGGAGAGAAGGCTCAAGTTTAAAATTTATGAGTTGTTTGTTTCTGGAATTTCCATTTACTATTTTCAGACCACAGTGGATTACAGAGAAGTGAAATTTGGAAAGTGAAACTCAGATAAGGGGAGGTAGGCCCAATTAACCTGTTTCCTGTGGCTTGGAGAAGAACATACACAAATACAGCTTCAGAGGACCGCGACAGATGGTGAACACATAAATTAGAGAGCTGAAACCCGGTGCGTCACGCACCTGGTATCTCTAACCATAAGGTCATTGAAAAGTACATTAAATGAGCAGCAAAAAAAAAAAAAAAAAGTAAATAAATAAATAGAAGGAAATTTTTACATATTTATTTGGAGAGTGAAAGAGAGGGACTGGTGGTGGTAGTGGGGATGAATTAGCCTCACTGCTGCAAGGATTTCAGGGATAATGGGGGATATGTGTTTGTAAATACATCAGACTAAGCTGGGATTTCATTATCACAATGAAACAATTTTAAAGAAATCACATTAACTTTAAATTATTTTGAACATTTTGTAAATTGAAAAACACATGATAGATTCCATTTCTCTTTAGTTGTCATGTGTCTTTAGTTTCTTCCTATCTATGGAAGTTTCCTGACCTTGATACTTTTGAAAAATATTGGTCAGCTATTTTGTAGAATGTCCCTCCTCCTGGGTTTGTCTGGTTTTTCTTTAGGGTTAACCTAGAGTTAGGGATTTGGGGGAAAGTATACCACAGAGGCCCTTCACCTGCCTCTGGCAAGGGAGTGTATGATTACCAACACAAGTCATCACAGTGATGCAATCGATCACTTGACTAAAGTGGAGCCATTGTCAAGTTTCTCTAATGTAAAATCTCCATTATCCCTTTCCCACACTCCTTTCTTCTGGAAGTAGTCAGTCAGTGCAGCCCACACTTAAGGTGTGAAGGTTTACTTTATTTGGACATGATTTAATCAACTGACTGTTTGTGATTGAAGCTTGGCTGTTTACAAATGGATGAAACAGCTACCTATTAGGAAAATTGGACTCCTAAGTTAAGTTTCAGTTTATTTCTGTAGTAACTTAGACTGAGTGAACTCAAAGTACAGAAGCATCCTTCCAGATACTGATGAGAGTTGGTGAAACAAGAAATAGTGGTATAAGTAAGTAAACTGCCATGCCAAATGAGTAAAAGATGGATTATTCAATGAATGGTATTGGGATAGCTGGGAGATTAAAACAACATGTAAATGAATCCATACATTGGACCATTTTACTTGGAACATCTCTAAACAGATCAAACATTTAATTGTTTAAGAAGAGAAACCAATGAAGTACCTGAGATATGGAAAAACTTATAAAAATCTGCAAGTACAGACAGACAGTCCTGCTAATTGTAATACCAAACACAGAAGACTTAAAAGATTGGCACATTCAATTGCATACAAATTTTAACAAATCTTGGCAAAATCAAGTAAATAAAAAAAAAACTGCTAAAAATATTCTGTGCTCATTTCACAGTCAAAAAGTTCATTTTAATTATCCTAATGTAAAAAGAATGAATGTTCAGTGCATTGAAGGAAAAGAAGCCCAGTGGAAAAATGGGCAAGTGAAAATAAACAAAGCATTCACAGCAATAAACAAAACACAGACTTTAGATGCCGCTCCAAAAAAAAAAAAAATCCTGCTTGTACATACTTAAGAAACCTGCTAGTTTAATCTATCCTGTGATATGTTTTTGTGTATAAAGTTGGCAAAGATCAAAGTCTGATGACTCAGTGTTAGGGAGGATTGAGGAAAAAACATTCTCTTACATAAGCAGTGGGAGTGTAAATTAGTACAACCGCAGTGGAGGGCACTTTAGTGTTATCTTTTTGTTTTGCAAGTGCACAAACCTTCTGACTCAACATTTTTAAGACTTTATGATATAAACATGATTATTTACATGCAATATTGCTCTGAGGTTATTTATATATTTATTTATTGTTTTTAATTGCAACATCATAATTCTATATTTTATGAAGTACAAAGTAAAGTTAGAAATATGTGCACAATGTGGAATGATTAAATCAAGCTAATTGACATATCAGTCATCTTACTTACATGAGTATTTTTTTCTACTTATGGAATTTTGATAGCGATTGCACAGAATTTGTACATCACTTTGAATAGTATGGATATTTTAATGATATTAATTCTTCCAATCTTTGAACATGGGGTAACATTCCATTTATATGTATCTCCCATTTCTTTCATTAGTGTTTTATAGTTTTCACTATACAGATCTTTCACTTCTATTTCACTAAATTTAACCATTTGTACCTAAGTTTTTTGTTTGTTTGGTTTTGTAAATGGTATTTACAAAATACCCATTGATATTGTAAATGGGATTTTTAAAAAGATTGTTAATTATACATTATTAATGTAGGGAAACACTGGTAACTTTTTGTTGTTGTTACTTTTGCATCTTGTACTTTTTCTGAATGCATTTATCAATTCTAATGGGTTTTTTTGGGAGGGGGTGGAAGCTTTAGGATTTTCTACATAAATAAAACAGAAAAATGAAAAATAAAAATAAAACAGAAAAAATGACTATGTCATAAGCAAACAGAAACAATTTTGCAGACTGGAGATGTGGCTCAAGCAATAGAGTGCCTGCTTTGCAAGGGTGAAGCCCTGAGTTCAAACCCCAGTCCCACCAAAAAAGAAAGAAAGAAAGAAAGAATATTGCCAGGAGCCTGTAATCCTAGCTACTCAGGAAGCAGAGATCAAGAGGATTGTGCTTCAAAGCCCACCCAGGTAAATAGTTCACAATCTTGAAAACAGCTATCGCCAAAAAAAGGACTGGTAGAGTGGCTCAAGGTGTAGGCCCTGAATTCAAACCCCGTACTGCAAAAAACAAACAAAAACAGAAACAATTTTGTTTCTTCCTTTTCTTTATGGATACCTTTTTATTTCTTTCTCTTGGCTGATTGCTTTGGCTAGTATTTCCTTCCTAGGACCTTTCTTTGATTAAAAAGAAGTATAAACATGGTTACCTTGTCCTGTGCCTTTGTTATTAGGCAAAGCTTTCAACTTTTCACTGTTGAGTATGACGTTATCTGTGGGCTTTCATATATGGCCTTTCTTGTTTTGTGATATATTTCTTCTATATTTGATCTGTTGAGAGTTTTTGTCATTAAAGGATGTTGAATTCTGTCAAATGCTTTCTGCATTTAATGAGATCATCATATGGTTTTTATCTTTCTTTCTGTTAATGTGGCATTTCACATTTATTAATTTTTGTGTGTTTAACCCTTTTTCCCTCTCAGGCATAATTTCTACTTGATTGTCATGAATGATTCTTTTAATGTACAGTTGAATTTGTTGAAATTTTTATATCTATGTTCATTGGGGATATTGGCCTATAATTTTATTTTTTTTGTAGTGTTCTTGTCTGTATTTGATATCAGAACAATGCTGATCTCGTAAAATTAGTTTGCAAGTATTTTTTCCACTTCAATTTTTTGGAATAGTTTAAGATGAACTGGTGTTATTTCTTCTTTAAAGATTTGGTAGAATGCAGCTATGAAACCATTCTGTTCTGGGCTTTTAATTAATTAGTTTATTTATTTATGTTTATTTTTACTTTTTGCTACATTGGGGATTGAACGTAGGGCTTCACACTTGCTAGGCAGGTACTCTCCCACTTCAGCCATGTCTCTTCTTTAATTTGGTGAAAGACGTTTTAATTACAGATTTGAATTTCTTATTCATTTTTGATCTATTTAGATTTTCTCTTTTGGTCTTGGTAGGTTATATATGTCTAGGGATTTTTCCATTTTTTCTATTTTGTCTGGTTTATTGGCATATAAATTTTCATAGTACTGTAATGCATTCTTATTTTGGTAGTCAGTTGTAATGTCTGATTTTATTTTCTCTTTCTTTTCCTTCATCTGGCTAAGCAGGGTTTGTCAACTTTGTTTACATTTTTTTTTGGAAACCTCAGTTTTGTGATTTTTTAAAAAAATTGCTTTGCTAGCCCATATTCATTTATTTCTGCTCTCATCTTTGTTTTTTTCCTTTTTTTCACTAATTTTGGGCCCAGTTTATTTTTTTCCTAGTCCTTTGAGGTATAATATTAGATTGTTTATTTGAACTCCTTCTTACCCTTTTCTTCCTCCTCCTCCCCCTTCTCTTCCTCCTCATTATTTAGGTAATTGTTTATTGCTATAAATTTCCCTCTTAGAACTGCCCTGTTATATCCCGTAAATTTTGGTAAGTTGGGTTTCAACTTTTGTTTGTCTCAAGGTATTTTTGACTCCCATGTAGATTTCTTTTTGAC